TGCTATGATTGCTACTATTAATTGCAAAATTTAAAAAGTGGTCAGGGAATTTAGAAATTAGATGCTTTAATATTTTTTCTCAGAATGGAAAGAATCTTTCTTTGTCATCCCACTAAGATTACCACAACACCTGCAGTGGTTTGATTGTAAATTTTGTTAAGGCCAAAAAACTACTGGCCAAGTCTACCACTTAAAATACCCAGTAGGTATTTGTTGAATTCACTAATTAAGCTGCAAATCCAGACTATTGTTGGGTGAATGGGAAGTCTTGAATCTGCTATTAAATATCCAGCCTGTCTCTCTAATCTTGACCTGCACCAAAAGGCCCCAACCTCAGTCCTTCTGTTACGTGTATCCATGTAGGAGATGGAACACTAGAAGCATGCCAAAAATTCTTCATTGACTAATATGTGTTTCCATGACCTTAGCTTTACTCAAGGCCTGATTAAAATGTCACTGCTATCATATCTTTCCTGACCAGCTAGGCCAAAACAGCTGCTCCTTCCTTGTCCTCTCCTACAGCTTTCCACTTGCTTTGTATTGATTTGGTTATGGAAAAGATTCTTGAGGTTCGAAATCTCTTCTTACATTTGTATCTCCAGTTCCTGGCCTTCAATAGGTGTCCAGTAAATGTTGGTTTAATGAGTGAAAGTTCATTCTTTCAGCTCTTCTGGTGCTAGCCCCCGATCACTTTTAATATATTGAAATCAACCTCTGTCAGCCATAGAGTTGAATCTAATGATCTGGCCCCCACAGAAGTCTGCCTTTCTACTTCACATTCCTTAGGACTTTACTGTATCCAGTAGCTTGCCAATGGAGGGATCGTAGATAAACGAAAGACCATGCCTACAGATTGGCTGCCCTTCTTTACTAGAAAAGGGAGGCTGCTGGGGAAACCAGAAGCTGCTCCTAAAGTTTTGAGGCTGGTGTGAACCACTAATTCTCCTTTCTTTCCAGTATGAAATGAAGAGCTTCTTGGGTTTCGTTTGTCGTTGCAGCTGCTATTATGAAGTAGAATAATCCCAAGGAGAAAACAAAATTTATTTCTTATGTGATGAAAGCCAGAAATAATACCCTATGACAAGAGGGATCACTTGCACAATAGTCTTTTACGCATATGAAATAATACTGATAATCGTGGGTAATTGAATCCCTGAAGAAGATTCTTCTGTTGTGATGTGACCTTGTGAGGTGGCTATGAGTTCCATGGTGGTATAAGGACCAGCCTTGGTGCTAAAACACTAACTCTACCATTTAGTGTCATATCAAGTCAAACTCTCGAGTATGCTTCTAAGTGAAATACAGGATCTAATACATGAATTTGATATGAAAATTGAATTTAACAATGGATTTCAAAGGTCTCAAATTTAAAGTGTTATGAAAAATAGCATGCATTGTCCTGAGAGTATTTCTGGCCCAGTGACATAGATAAGTAGGACAACTGACTATCCCACCTTCCTATTTGATGATCACACCTGGCAACAGCTGGTGTTCGACCTAATTCACATCACAGAATTATGGATTCATTCTTCACATTTCTGAGCTACCAAGGTTTATATGGCTCAACATTTCCAAAAGAGCTATCAGTGTTATTTTGTTGTTTGTATCTTGATCCAAGACCTTTTTGCTATATCTGTCCTCTTTGTGCTGCATTTACATAACATACACCATTAGCAGCCAAGTCTTATGAATTATCCTGTGGTAACGGTGGCTGTACATTAATTTATACACACAATTACATCATTTTGGAAATGAGGGGTAAAATATTTTAATCCAGAATATAGTATGAAATTGGTGAACTTGAGTCTCCCTGCTTCACTTTTATCTACCCCCAACACACTAAACATTACTTGTCTTAACTGTCCTCAGAAAACCAATATCTTCATATTTTCTCCTTCCTCTCCCTATCTGTAATTCTGGAGAAAGGATCTGAAATTGTTTGTCAACAAAAAATTGCAATAGTATCTATTTCAGGGTGTGAGCTCATTGTGAATCAAAGCGTTAAGTAAAAAGAAGCCTGACTAAAGACAGTGGCCAATTAATGAGAAGTTTTATTTTGGATAGCAGGCCTTCTTAATGCTCCCAAAATCCCTCCTAAAACTGGTGACCCTTTGGGGAAATGACTTCTTTCATCTGATTATGAGAAAACTGGCCTAAGGGGCTGAGGTCCTAACAGAAAATGAAGCCAACATAGAAGATTGAACTCATGTCTTCATTCATGCTATCCAACCCAAATTCTCTCTATTCTGTAATCCAAAAAGTCATTTAGGCATTTTGTACTATAATAGCCATATTGTCCAGATAATCTTATCCAAGATAGCAGCTGTTTTCCTTGTGAACACAATAATCTCTGACCTTGAAAGAACGCCATTTAACCAGTGACAGGTGATCATTGGTTAAACAGGGCCTGGGCACTCTTTAGTCAACTACAAGAATGCAGGTAACAGTGATGAATTCAAAACAGTGTTCATTGAATGTGCCTTCAAAAAAGGCTTAAAAGACCATTCGTTCAACATCTACTGTCTGGTCATACTGTCAGCAGAATAAAATTCAAAGGGCTTTACCTATGTGAGTTTTTGTTATCGTTTGTTTTGTTTTGTTTTATACCAAATATTATAACAACTCATGTCTTGGTTTGAAACTGTAAAAACCTTAAAAGCTTTGTGATTTAACAAAAACATTCTATTGGGGGCCAATGCCCTTTGGAAATCCTTTTAGAAATAACACATTCTAGCATGTTACCCTTGATAAGACTGCAATATTGATAACATGTCAAAACCATTCCCTTCTTTTGCGCACATTAAACTGAAAATGGCAGCTTTGACGTAAGACATCTGCTTGTGAATTCATTAGCTAAACTATTATCAGCAAAGCACATTTATGTATCTCTTGTTAAAATTGTAAGCTCAAAACATGTTTTATTGGTGATTCATTTTCCTGCTCCTCTTCCCAAAACATTTGTGTTTGGGGTATGGAAAGGCATTTTATTTATTTTTCAGGTAATCAGGTTTCATGTGTGACTATTTAAAACATGATAAACACAGCATATTTCACTTCTTTTATTGCTCTTTGTTGAAGGAAATTGCTACAATCCTTTGAAATGAAAATCTTAAAATCTAACATTTAAAGCATTATTAAAACAGCAACCAGATAACCTTTTAGTCAGTGTTTATCTTTCCCTTTTCCTACGACGTGGAACTGGAGCATTACACGAATGACTCTAGTTTTTCCTGCTTTGCTTTTCCCCTTGCAGATGGTAAATAGTTCTCAAGTTTCTGCTCACATACTACATTCTATATTCCATTCTCTTTTACTAACCAAAAGTAAGTTAAGAAGTTTCTCCAATTTCAATAAATTACTTCATAATTTACCCATGGTTTTATCCATAAACCTAAGAATCATCCTTGATATATTTTTCTCATACTCTCGTATCCCTTTTATATACAAGTTCTATATTTCCTACCTCCACAACATGTATCCAAACTCATCTACAGCTCTTCTTTCCCTTTGTGTACCATCCCAGTATAAGCCATCATCATCTTTTCTTATAATCATATTTCCGTATTGACTGGCCCGTTTCTTTCTCTCCAATCTCATTTCAAAGCCTTTCCCTGTCACCCACACAACTCTGTCTCCATTGGCTGCTTTCCTGTTCCCCAAACAAGCCATGCTCTTTGCTGTGCATAGATTTTGCTTTTCTTTCTTCTATTGAGAATGCCTGGAATACTAATTACTGCCCCAGTTTTTCCCATTACTTCACCTTATCCTTCAAGGCTACCCTCTGTTTTTAACCTTCCTTAAAGTAGCCCACGACTTATCCTATCCCATCACCTTGCTTACTTTTACTTAACAATTTAAAGGCAGGGCTCAGTGTCTCACGACTGCAATCCCAGCACTTTGGGAGGCGGAGACAGAGGATCACGAGGTCAGGAGTTTGAGACCATCCTGGCCAATACGGTGAAACCCCATCTCTACTAAAAATACAAAAATTAGCCAGGCATGGTGGTGTGTGCCTGTAATCCCAGCTACTTGGGAGGCTGAGGCAGGAGAATCGCTTGAACCCGGGAGGTGGAGGTTGCAGTGAGCAGAGTTGGCACTACTGCACTCCAGCTTGGGTGACAGAGTGAGACTCCATCTCAAAAAAAAAAAAAAAAAAAATTAAAACATTGTGTAGTTACAGTAGACCCTGCTTATCTGCGGTTTCACTTTCCATGGTTTCAGTTACCCATGGTCAACTACAGTCTGAAAATATTAAATGCGAAATTTCAGAATTCATAGGTTTTAAATTGTGAGTGTTAAATCTGAGTAGGGTGTTGAAATCTCTCGCTGTTCGGCTCCAGCCTAACCAAAACATGAAACATCTTTTTGTCTAGCATGTTCACATGTAAACACCATTCTCCCATTAATCAACTAGTAATCGTCTTGGTGAACAGACAGAATAAATACAGTGTATATAAGGCATATACATACCAATAGTTTCAGGCATCCACTGTGGGTCTTAAAACATGTCCCCCCCCACACACCTATGATTAAGGAGTAACTACTGTGTCTTATTTTATCTATTCCTCAATTTAGTGTGTACCTTGACTAGTGGGTAACTTAGATCAAAGCAAAGACTATGTCTTTTCAGTGCATGGCTGTGTCCCTTGAAATAAAAGGATTGTGTGTCTCACAGTAGGCACTCAATAAATATTTGCCAAACAACCGAATGAATGAATAATTAAGTGAATGACTGATGTCAAATTCCATTGAGATTCCCAGACCTTTTCATACATCTTTAGGCATCAGTGACAGACTGATAGCTAGTTACTCAAGACAAGTTTTCTTACTTATTCATTTACTTTTGATTCTGCCTTGGACTATTGATTGTTTTCATTAATAATAATAACAGTGCTTTGGGTAGCTAGTAGGAAAAGCAAGAGCAGTGATGCTGACACATTCTGAATGTCTTCTGGATGATGCAATCCGTATCCAAATAATTTCCGCCCATCAATCATTCCTCAACTTCCTGCAATGAAACTCCCTGGAGGAGTCATCAGATTCTCGATCTTGCTTGAAGACTGACAAGATGTCCCTGTGGACTCCCAAACTCTACTCCAGATGGAGAGAGGTCCTTAACACCAAGATTTTAAAAGCTCCAATTTCAGGGCAAGAGTAGAAAACTCACAGGGAAAGTCACAGTTGTTTCAAGGTTCTGAAAAGAAGCAGAACATGAAGGTAAGTAAAGGCTTCATTAACTTGAGACTTCTTAGCTATTTTTAAAAACACTTTATAGCGTTTTACCTATTTCATATTTAATAAGCATTTTAAGGATATTTGAATGATATGCCTTTAGAATAACAGAATCATTTGATTTTACTAAGAAAAAAATGCACGTATTTACTTATTCTTCATTTGGGTGAAGTAGTAAAAATAACATATTTCTAGATATGTTTTTTTTCAATTAACTGGAAGATAGAAGGGAAACACCTCCAGAAACTGAGTACTAAGACAATATTTCGAGAAGTAAGGGGTTTGTAACTGTCCAGGAGGTCGAGGAAGGAAGCAGAAGATCCTATTGGCACAGAAATGACCCTTTCTGGTTGGTCACTTCATACAGGGACTCAGAAGTCTAGCAGCAACAACCTTGGCTCTTTTCCTGGTGTTTTTTTTCCTGGGAAACTCCAGCGGCGCTCCGCAGGTAATCAAATGGAATAAATAAATTAATTAATTAAATTAATAACTTAAAAATGCGCACTGTGTGTCCACTCTGCTCTTTCTTTCTTCCTTCTTATTTTATTGTCTTCTGTTTTTTCTTTATTTTGCTGTAATAGAGGACTGAGCTGCAATGTTTAATTAACTGCTCTTCCCTTCTCCCGGGTTATAGAGACTGTTGGAGAGAAGGAACTGGACTCCTCAAGCTATGCTGTATCTGAAAGGGGCACGTAAGTTCCAAATATTTTTCTTTTCCTATAATAACGGAATACCCTTAGAAGTGCATGAATCCATGAACAGATAAATGGAGAGTTATGAAGAAAGAAAAATATCGAGTTTATTCCCTTAAATCGTAGAGGCCATCAAAGAGACCGGTAGGTGAGGGAGGGGAGGGAGAAGGGAAGAGTCCCTGAATATTAGAAATCCTCCATCCTTATTAGAAATATTTTATCCTTATTAGAAATCCTCCATCCTTTTTAGAAATCCTCCATCCTTAAATGGAGGGTTGCTTGTCTTAGTCCAAATGGGGACTCGGGCTGCCTGGGAAACAACCGCACCGGCGGTGAACCCGACCTTCGCTCCAAACCTCCCCTGCGGCGTCTGGCCAGGCGCGGAGCTTTCTCCCGGTCTCCAGGGCGCCTGGCTCCGCCGGAGGTTGCGCTGGGAGCGCTGGAAACTCGACAGTCCCGCGCGACCCTGGAGCAACCTGCCCCCTCCCCACGCCCGGGGACTGCGCGTTGCCGGGAGGAGCTCTGGTGTAAGCCCCGGTTGTCCCGGGCAGGGCGGTCGTTGAACCCCGGGTCTCGCCTTTGCAGAGGGTCGGCGCTTCATCTCCGACCAGAGCCGGAGGAAGGACCTCTCCGATCGGCCACTGCCGGGTGAGTGACCAGGGGTGCAAGTTCGCTAGTCCTGCGCTTTGGGAACAGGATGGGGTGGGCAGGGCTTGCTCCGCGCTGCCTCCAAAAGAAAGTTATCTCCCCACCGGAAAGACGCGGCTCTGAGTCGCCTGGAGCTGCAGTCCGCCCGAGCGCAGCCCACGTGGGCAGCAGCAGCGGGACACCGAGCGCCTGAGCCGGGAGCTCGCGCTTCCAGCCCCGCACCAACAGTGGCAAGGGCGGCTCAGGCTGGCGCTGCGGCTCCCCTAGCTTTACCCGCCCGCGGCTGCTGAGCCAGCCCTCTGGCCCCCAGGGTGTGCAGAGGTCCCCAGGGAGTTAGGGCGTGAGGTTCAGCTCAGCGGGGTAAGGAGAGAGAGGAATAACTATACAAATGCATCTAGAAACGTATCGGCGCGTTTATGCAGGAACTTAGCCTCCTCTTAAACACTTATTAACAAAATGGGAACTTACCTAGGAGCTTCAAATGTATGCTTCTGTTTTACTAGAAAGAACTATCACAGGCTCAAAATCAAAAGAGTAACTAACATGCGGGCAGTTAAGGATGGGACCAGGAACTGTTCTTTTTCATGGTAAACCTTTCCATCGTATTGTATTAAAAATAGGGGAGGGACAGCGTGGGGTGGGGAGTTGGGGAGAGAGAGCATGGGGAGAAATGCCAGATATAGATGAAGGGGAGGAAGGCAGCAAATCACACTGCCACGTGTGTACCTATGCAACAATCTTGCATGTTCTTCACATGTACCCCAAAACCAAAAATGCAATTAAAAAATAATAAAATTGCTTAGCATGGAAAAATAAATAAATAAAAAACAGTACAATTCGATAAAATTGTAAAGATTGAAATGCTAAAATTAAAAAGTATACTTACTTTGAAAAATACCAAACACTGTTTGAACACATAGTAGGTGCTTAAATTTTTGTGTAGGCTCCTCAAACATGCTGTGTAATTGTGCTTATTTATTTTATGAGGGTGAGATTTGTTTTTCAACTTCAGTAGCCCCAAATTAGAAATCATGTTTTGTGCTGAATCGAATCAGAACAATTTGTCTTTTTTCAACTTAGATTTGAAATAACTTTGAATTCTTAGCAGATACTCCTTCAGTCAAATAATTATCTTATATTTAGCCGAAAAGGTAAATTATTATCTAAAATTCTCTTTGGCATTTTAAAATTACCTTCCATACCCGGTTTGTAAACTTCACATACCAATTGTAAGTCATTTCCAAAGCAAATGTGAAATGTTTCCATTTATACAAAATTAGTCTTCTGCGTAAGGAGCCCTTTCTTGACAGATCAAAATCTATTTCATAGAGGTTTTTCTAGTGTTGTAGCATGTGAGAATAAGACTTACGAATATGAATATATAAATGCTAACAGAATCTGTATACATTTTTGTTTCTCCAGAAAGACGAAGCCCAAATCCCCGACTACTAACTATTCCGGAGGTAGCAGCCATCTTACTGGTGTCCCTGCAGAAGTCACCAGAAGGTACTAACATAGTGACCTCTTTCACCTGCACTGACAGAACAGTTTTGCTTACTTTCGGGATTCTGTGTTGAGTGCAATGCCCCTCCCCAGAAATTCACAGAGATGTTTATTCTGTGAAGACCAGTATATTTCTCACTGAAGCGAGTCCCAAGACTATAAAAGCATTTCCTTGCAAGACTGGGGAATTTTATATGAATTTTGGCATTCTTAGCCTACGGTAACTTTTATTTATTTTTTTCTAGAACTTTTAAAACTGAAAAAGCTCAAAGTCCAACTGCATTATCTTATAGCTGAACAAACTGAGGCCAAAAAGATTAAATAATCACAAATCCAATTGCTCATTATTCAAAGTTAAACCAAAGGAAATCAACAATTTTTTTTCTTAGAAACACAGCAGTTTCATATGGTTCACCCCAATAGATATGGGCCAGTTCTGATTCTAAGCCTGTATAATTTTCACTATCCTATGTAGCTTTTTCTATACCAGGATTAGATCTAATCTTCAAATAGAAGTACTGTGTCCATATAGCATTAAAACTACTGGTTGAATTGTGGTATCTTGGTAATGTATCAGCCACGTCTTGGGAGTCTAACAGACTTGGACTTAAATTCTGGCTCTGCTGCTTGTTAGCTGGGTGAACCTGAGCCTTAATATCATTATCAATTAAATAATGAAATAATGGTACTCATGTGCAAGGTCTCTACGAGAACCCAATGAAACAAGTTATATCATTCTTATTACTATTACGAAGTCATTGAACTGTAACAAATAGACCGAAAATTTTCTCTTTCAAAAATTGTAATGATGCCATATTTGTGACATAATTTACATTTTAAAATGTGTAAAAAACATGTAGTCCCAGCTACTCTGGAGGCTGAGGCAGGAGAATCGTTTGAGCCCAGGAGGCGGAGGTTGCAGTGAGCCAAGATCATGCCACTGCACTCCAGCCTGGGTGACAGAGCAAGACTCCATCTCAAAAACAAACAAACAAAAAACACGTAGTTAGTGGTCTGGTGGTTGAAGCATATGCTGCTGGCCTAGTTCTATAACATCTGTGCTATTGGAGAAAACGTGTGCTCCATGCCTCATATTGGACAGCCCATGTGGGAGAAGGGAAGAAGAGCAGAAGGCACTTTCTGGCTTCAAACTTTGGCTTTGTTGTCAAAAAATCCCTGTGAAAGGCAAGTGGAAGAGAGTGGGATTAAAAAAGTCTTTTGAACTCAGAGCAAGACCAGGGCTAAGGCATGAAGAGAAGACAATGCTTTTCAGATATTGGATATGCACTCTTAATCCCCTCACTAACCCTAGGAGGTAGGCACTCATCCACATTTTACCAGTGAGAACATAGAGGCTCAGAAAGATTAAGTGACTTGCTCACCATCACATAAGAGGTGCATAACAGAACTGGGATGAAAACAGGAGGTAACTTGGTCTTTGAGAATAAGATGACCTATTAATTTTCAGCCGACAGATGACAAGGTGAAGGAATATGAGTCTGGTTATGATACATAGGGTAACAATAAAAGCAATAGCAATAGCTATAGTATAAGACACTATGTGTCAGATATGATTGGTAATCTTTATAGCTCAGAAAACTGAGCTTTCAAGAGATGGCCTTACTTTTTTAAGATCACATAGATAGTAAGAAGTGATATCAAGATTTTAGCTCAGATCTGTGTGATTCTATAGCTCTCTCAATTATTCCATGCTACCTTTCATATGAATTGGATCAAAGAGGAAAGGCTAGAGTGGAGAACCAATAAGAAACTCAGGACATAATACAGGAGTGAAGTGATGAGGCCCAGTCAGTCAGTGGGAATAGATGCAGGGTCTCAACTCTGAGGTATCCCAGAAAGAATAGATAAGTGGGATAGCTGTTCACTAAAGATGTGAGAGAGAACCCAAAGTCAAGCACATTTTTAAAGTGTTGTGTTTGAGAGTTTAAAATGGTGATGATGATAATAAGGAGTGGAAATTTTTGTGAATATGGAGAAGGATTCAATTCAAAGTGACAGGGACCTTCTAGTCAATAAAGTTATGTGGGTCAGAGTTCTCCACTATCCATTTGTGGACTGGTGACATCAGAATTACCTGGAGAGATCACTGAAAAAAAAAAAAAAAAATAGAGATTTCTTGGCCTTAGGCCCAGCGATTCTAATTCTGTACTGCTTGAGTGAGGCCCAAGAATCTCTGTCCTTAAGAAGTTCTTCCACATTATTCTGATGATTGGTCAGGTTTGAAAACAACAGGAACTTCAGAGGCAATTAATAAAGGTTGAAATCTTGAGAATGGAGATAGCTTCTAGGGCTTAGATATAATGGGAAAACGGAAGATAATAAAACACCCAAAAATCAAGGAAATGGGGGAAAATAGTATCCATGAAGGGACATTAAAAGGAGCAAGCAGAAAGATAAGAGGAAAATCAGAATAACAGAGTATCCCAGTATTTACCCAGTAGTTGATGCTACTGATTACTCCCCTCTTGAAACTTTCCAAGGATGGAAACTATCAGAATGGTTAACTATAGCAGAATGGGTAGTAAGAATATACAGCTCAGGGGACTTTAAACAGTGCATCACAGGACATCCCCCCACCTCCCATCCAGTGACACAACTTGCTTCTGCTGTGCTGTATCTGAAACCTTGTTTAGACAGAATTTGGGACAAGAAGGTATACTGCAAAGTTAAGAGAAAGCGGGGTCCAAGGCTCTGGAGAGCCGGCATTACTCTCAGAACTCTTGCAATGAAAAGGTGTGAAATAGTTGAATAATGGGTAGAGGATGCTGTATTTAAGGTGATCTTTTTAAAACCCTAGATGTGGAACCCAGCAATTTTTGAAGTCAGTAAGAACAGAGCTCTGATGGAGATTGGTTGATAGTGACGTTTTCGATTTGATTGTTGGGAAGATGTGCAGAGCCAGAAAGGAAAGTGACCTGTAATGGACAAGAGAGAGCTAATTTTAAAAAGGAGAGGTATCTTCATTAGTAATTTGAGGAAAGGATGTGATTATAGGTTCCCATCTCTTTTTTGGAAAATAAATATGTATTTTTTTAATTACTGAAGTTTTCTAAGTGGATGGTCTCTGAAGATGAAATTACTAATTTTATCAGTCTAAATCAATAGAAAAGTTTTTGATTCCCAAATGATAAATTCATCACTAGTATTAATCACTTTAGTATTTTTATTCTATAGTACCATTATTATTTAGAAGCCTCTTATTTTATGTAGTGAATTTTGGTTTCAGTGGAATTTATACAAGGACGGTGTTCTGGTTTAGTTTTGTTTTGTTATCTTCCTTCCCTTTAAAGAGAAGCCCATTCTCTGCAATGGTTTCAAGTGTGCTAGAAATACAGGTTACGATGTAACCCAGATATTCAAATTATATTGCAACTAATGGAAAGAATGTGGTTTTATCTAGAGGTAATCTTAGAAGAAATTAGTAATACACTTCGCCCTAACCACTCCTTCTCCTTACCTTATTGTAACTTTTAGTCATTCTATCCTATTTTTAGAGTCCCAGGAACCTGCTATTGTCCGACTCTTTAAGTATCCCCACCTCACGCTCTAAAGTTTCGCCATCTCACCCAGGAGTGTTTCTTCTTTCTCATTTCACCCCCAGAACTCTAGCTCCCCTAACAAAAGAACATTTACAAATGTGTTCCTATGTCATCTTTCCCGAGTAAGATCCATTTTAACAGGAAATATAAAGAGACAATCCTTTGATGCAAGTGAACTATTTTCACGGCAGGTATTTTATACATAAGTCAATTTGTGAGAGCAAGACACGTGGCTCTTTCAGATTTTTACCAGACATCCCATATTGTAGTTTCATTCATTATAGAGATTCAGATTTAAAACATGAAACCCCCAATGTGTCCCAAGCTGAGAAGAAAAGATTTTAAACTGAACAAATCAGAACCCACATTGTTTAAATTCTCAGTAGCAGAGTCCATGAGTTAACATAACTTAGAAGGCTAAATGTTGATTTACTGAGCTTCTCTTTGTCTTACCTTTTCCTCCATTAATTTTCCTCTATGACGTGCAGAGTGTATATTTATTTTAAACAATTTTTTTCTTACAGATGAAGAAAAAAATTTTGATCAACCTAGATTCCTGGAAGATAGTCTGCTAAACTGGTGAAAATATACTAGATTATGTTTAATTATAGTGCTAGTCTCTTTGAAAACATGAACCATACGAATAAAACCTTTGGACTCTTTTATTCCATTTGTAATCTTAAGAATACACACAGGTAGTTTTATTATTTCAGAAACAAAAAAAAATACATAGGATGCTCAGCTGAGAACATCATCATCTTCTTTCATTGTTTCAGGTCCTGTTTAGATCACCAAAAATGTTGAGATCACCTTGTGTCTTACTCTTGAGTTTCTTAGAGTATTTATAATTATAAGGCTGAAGACTAAAGTGTTCTTTCCTTTTAATTACAGCCAGTAACTGTCTTGATCTTAGTTTTGTTTTTTTTTCTTCATTTTGTTACCCACTTGCATTTTGTTTTCACTCAGCAGAAATTCTCCCTCTCTGTTTTCCTTTTAACCCATCCCAAAGAGGTGGGATGAAGTTAAGAAGCTTGGCAGGATGGGAAATAGGAGAGTATGACTCTCTAGAGCTCATCCAGGAGTGGTCAATTAAGAAGATAAATTGGATGGCTGGGGAGAAGCCCTGTGATAGGAACGCTTCAGTGTGGTTGCTGGGAGGAGACAGTCATTGAGGTAGCAGGCTTGCCAAAGATCCAGAGCTTGGAGCTCCCCTTGTGCCCTTTGGGAACTACCTTGCATTCAGTTTAGAAACATGTATCTACAAGTTACTGGGAAATAAGTGTGTCTCTATTAGACACACTCTGTTGTTTACATATGGGAAGAGGGAACAAGCCAGTTTTGTTAGAAGTAACTCATTTTCCATTGCCAAACAGACTCAGCAGATTCATGTACTCTGCTTACTCTGATTGACTAGACTCTAGATTTTATTTGACCTCATAGCATTACATAAATCACTCTGATAACATAAGTGCACAGTTATATGCCTGATTTCCTCCTTTTTAGAAGCCAGCTTGAGTTCAGTACCATCTGAATATACACACACACATACAGTCCTGTGGCAAATATAATAATGTATTTATTTAAAATTACAGTATGACCATCATGTTAATTATTCTTTTACCTAATTCAGAGTTGTTATTGACAAATGTCATAAGTGGAAAGTATTGTTAATTTTTATTGTCATCAGTATGTAGCCATTATTTAATAGCCCAAGAATATCTTTATATGAATATCTTTGTAACGTGGGATTGCAATTTCACTGTGTTAAGTAGTCAGAACTCTGCTTATAAGATTTATCTGTATCTTGTTTCATAATAATGTAACTAAATTCAAGTTAATGTAATGTTGATCTCTGTCAAAAAATAACTTGTGAGCATTAAAAAATCTGTGTGGCATTATAATAGGCACCTGTCATTAATTATGATTTGATTTGAAAGTAGATTTACTAGGCAGTGCTTACATCCAATTTACTGAAATTTTTTTCCAAAAGCATTGTTTTTGCTTATACAGAGTCCTAACCACTTCACCATTAGGAGGTGTGGGATATTAAAAATTATTTACTTATCAGACACAAACTTTTACATATTGACTATTCAAATAGTATAGGTATTCGAAGAACACTTTTAACATCTATCTTATGAAATAATTCTTCCCACAACTAACCAGAACAATCTCAAAAATTTCATACTAATCATTGTTTTACAAGCTGTCTCAATGACCAATAACTGTTAAAATACAGCTTCACATATGCTAAGTACTCAAATTCCTAGAATGTTCACATGTACAAATATGCTAATTAATTACAAAGGTCCCTCTTCCCAATTTTCTATAACTTTCCAGCTCTCTATGGTGTCTGCATTCTCTTTATTCCTAGCTTTTTAAAAAACTGAAATGAGTTGGGCGTGGTGGCTCACGCCTGTAATCCCAGCACTTTGGGAGGCTGAGGCAGGAGGATCACAAGGTCAGGAGTTCAAGACCAGCCTAGCCAATATTGTGAAACCCTGTCTCTATAAAAATACAAAAATTAGCTGGGCATGGTGGTGCCTGCCTGTAGTCCCAGCTACTCAGGAGGCTGAGGCAGAAGAATCGTTTGAATCCGGGAGATGGATTGCAGTGAGCTGAGATCGCACCACTACACTCCACTGCACTCCAGCCTGGGTGACAGAGCAAGACTCTGTCTCAGAAAACAAACAAACAAACAAAAATGAACAAGTGATCATAGATCAGAAAACTTTCACATTGTATGGCTTGTGTTTTAAAATTGAGAATTTCTACCTTCAACACAGATATATGGACTAAAATACCCTGGTCTCCAGGTAGGGCTTTCTGCCACTTTCTGCACAGTTCCCATTGCCCTTCCCTTTTTCTTCCCTTTTTTTGTCTCTATAGCCTACCTCAGCTATCCGGCCTCCATTGTGGGGTCTTAATTATTCTTTGTTTTTTCGAAGTTGCCTTCTCTCCCCCAATACCATCATTGTGGTCCTAAGAGAGGAGAGAGAAAGGCAAAAGGGCCCTGGCTTGCTCAAGTCAGCCTCTGGCTTGCATTTCTTCTTTATCTGGTTACAATAAATAAAAATGTGTATCTTATCAACCTTGAATGACATTATTTTATCGTGACTAAAAAGAAAGGGAAGTTGGGAATGTAACTTCATTCTGTTCAGTCTTTTCATACTGGACTGTAAATTTCTTTAGAATGAGCTCATTTTTAATTTGATTTGATCCTCACAACCACTGTGTGAAATGGGCCATCTTATCACCCATATTACTCATAGATATTTGGGCTCATTCCATGAAGACTCTTTGGACCTCTCTAAGTAGACTTGACCAGTCCCCCTCCTGAGTCTTCCTTGTACCCTGGAAAACTATTAGTATACACCTGTAACATTTTATACTCTCATCTGTTGATGTAAAACCAGGTCCGTGCAGTCTAACTCTTACCATGGAAGGAACAGTAGTGTCTTGATCAGTTCAGGCTGCTGAAACAAAATACCAAAAACTAGATGGCTTATAAACAACAGAAATTTATTTCACACAATTCTGGAACCTGAGAAGTCCAAGATCAAGGTGTCAATAGAATCAGTGTCTGATAGAAGGCCCATTCTCTCATAGATGGCACTTTCTTGCTGTGTCTTCACGTGGTGGAAAGGGCGAAGCAGCTCTCTGGGGCCTCTTTTATAAGGGCAGTAATCCTATTCATGAAAGCTCTGCCCTCATGATCTAATCACTTCCTGAAGGCTCTGCCTTCTTTGTGGATACCATCAGACTGGGGATTAGGATTTCAATACAGACGGGCCCAACTTAGGATGGTTTGATTTATGATTTTTCAACTTTACGATGGTATGAAAGCAACACACATTCAGTACACTCCTTGACTTACCATGGATTTATATTCTGATAGGCCCATCATAAATTAAAAATATCAGTCGGTTGGCCTGGCATGGTGGCTCATGCCTGTAATCCCAGCACTTTGGGAGGCTGAGGTGGGCAGATCACTTGAGGCCAGAAGTTCAAAGACCAACCTGGCCAATATGGCAAAACCATGTCTCTACTAAAAAGAAATATAAAAATTAGCCAGGTGTAGTGGCACATGCCTGTGGTCCCAGCTACTTGGGAGGCTGAGGCATGAGAATTGCTTGAGCCTGGGAGGCTGAGGTTGCAGTGAGCTGAGATCACACCACTGCACTCCAGCGTGGGCGACAGAGCAAGAATCTACCTTAAAAATAAAATAAAATAAAGAAAATATGAATGGGTTTGTCTAAACATAACCCCATTGTAAGTCGAGGAGCACCTATATATGAATTTGGGGGGCACACAAACATTCAAACTATAGCAGGTGGTACAATCCATAAAACGGGTCTTTCTATCAGCTGATCAGGCACCACACACTTTTTTTCTATAGTTTCTGTCCTTCAACTTGTGAATACATACATTCTTTAAAAGCAACAATTTTTTGAACCTCTATATCTCCCATAAGACCATTTATTCATGCAACTATTATGTACAAGGCACTGTACTAGACACAGAGCCATCTGCTAACAATCATAGTTGCTTCTCCTTGGGGAAAAGGACAAAGAAATGACTAGAGTGGAGGGATGGCGTCACCTGGTTTTAATTAGTGCTCCTCCTCTTGCCTAACTTTATGGAGGAAACAAGTGTTGGGGAAAATAACTTGGATCTTATTCTAAATAATGAAATTGTCATTCACTCAATTTCTTCCACTTTTTGAGCAGAGAATAAATTCCATTATAATATTTAGAAAGAGAAAATGAAATTTGTGGCATTTTTATTATTTTAAATAATTAGTCTTACTTTGCTTTTCTAAATTAGCTCTGTTCAGCACGTGTAGAATTCAGTTCTTGTATTCACCATGCAGCTTTTTCTTCCCATGAGGAACGCGGCTCAGTGAAAATGGTGACTTGATATTTAACCGATCCCTTTCAGCCTCCTCTTCCTCATCGTATCTCTCATCCTCCACTTCATCTTCCACATCACTGCTCTGCGGACTAGAGGCCTGAGACCCCGAAGGAGAAGGTGGTACTGAGGAAGGCCTGGGATATTTAAATCCTTCTGTCTGTCAAAGACAAAAATAGGACATCAACATCATAACAATTTCTTGGTTTTCAGTGATGTAAATTCTATGCATGCACATTCAATTTTTTTAAAGTAGTTATCTTTTGTAGTCCGTTCAGGTGCTATTAAACTTTGCTTCATTTTGATTTTGATATCACCAACCTCAAGAGGGATTCATTAAATATATAGCTATTTTTTATTAAGTACTGAAATGTGCCAGGTGCTATATACATGTTATACCATCTCATCTTTTAACAACACTCTGATAAATTTGTTTTTTCCATTATAGAAGAAAATGGAGGGTTAGAGAGGTCAAGTAGCTTGCCCAACCTCACACAGCAAATAGATAGTAGAGCAAAGATTTGTCCCAGGTCTGTGATGACTCCAGAAGCTTTCATCTCAATTGCCATTTTACATTGCTGATACTGTTAGTCTCTATGTCATCCTTCAAATTTGCTCAACAAAGCTGCCAAATGTGCCTGGAAATGCCATGGACAGCCACCCCTAGAAGGCATGCTGGAAGTCAGGCCACTTAATTAGCCCAACAATTCCACCAGTTGCTGTTATTTCAGTTAATGATAAAATACCACTAGGCTTTAATTAATTTGACCTTCTACTTGAGATACTGAGATAATTTATTTGATAAACACATACTGAGCACGAATTATGTATCAGGCACAACAATGCCACTAAGAAACCAGATGAAAAACATGACTGGTGTGCATATGATTGAATGGGGAGACAGATGTATAAAAGTGTCATAGTGCTCGTCACTCTGTATTTCAAATATTTTATACATTACTATCATGTCACACATGTACAGTCATTTTAAGGTTCAGATACTTTACCTGTAAGCAATACAACAAAAGAACTGAGTTCTGCACTTAGGACCTAGCTTGAAGTAGGTGCTCAATACTTATTCAATGTAATAACTGAATAAATAAGTAGATAAGCAGATAAATGAATGAATACTGAATTATCATTAAGTGGAATGACCACCTCTAAATAAGCTAAGCAATCAACTCTGAATGCTAGAATCATAAACATGAAAGACAGAATTTATCGATTGAGGGTTTATGAAAACCTTATCACCTTTTTTATGGGAAAATTTTACCTCAGGTTGACTTTCTAGATCTGTTCCTCTGGAAACTTGATATATAGGTGGAATATAAGTCGTGTTATTAGGCATAATTATCTATGACAACAGTGACCCCGATTGAGAAATTATATCTAAACTGAAAAATCTATAAATACTTGATGAGGAGCCAGAGTTTTTGGGAATCTCTGAATGTGATGACTCTTGTAATTGGGCATATTCCTTGCAGGGAGCATGAAAGCTGGTTTCCAGGGATTTACATGAGATAGAGGCTTCTGTGGGGGATGGAGCTACTAAGCTAAGGTGATCTCATTTGCAATGGTATGGGTCTTATCTTCTTGCACCTAAGATGTCACCTAGTGTGTAGGGGGCCAAAGATGTTTAGTTCTTGGACTACTGTGTAGACTACTCCGAGGACCAATCCCAGTAAAGAGAAATGCCTGATGCTACCCTGCTTCAAGAGGCGCCTCCTATCTTCTACCCTGCTAAGTGTATCTGATGACAAATGTGGCCTTTGGCAGTTTCATGAACATAAATGTCTAGCTGGATTTTAGAAGACATCTTGGTGGGCATTGCTGGATGGAACATAAATGCTCATCTAGTTCAATTCCTCCTGGGGTGCTGAACTTACTCTATTTTACTCTTGCCAAGTGATCATACTATATTTAAACACTTCCTTGGATAGCAAATTCACTTTCGATTAAAGCAGTCCAATTTATTACTGAACAACTCCCTAAAGCATAAATGTCCATCAGAACCATTTCAAGCATTGAGGTAGAGAAATATTTAATTCAGAGATGCTTCTCTAATGACATGAATTAACTGTCTACTCATCCTATACGTAAGGCTGACTCTGAATTGAGAGCTTTAAGATAGTCTGATTTGTGAGTTCCTCTCTCTCTTCTTTGCTTTGATTCAACATTATGGAAAAGCATTATAGCTGTGTGCATAGTTATTCCAAATTTAAAGGCATTATTTAAGCTTATAAAAAGAAATATAGCTTTCAAAACAAACAATACATTGAATATTTACCGTTGGTGGTGATGTTAGCTCCACATGGAATTTATCTGGAAAAGCTCTGCTTAATGTCAGGTGTCTGGCATGCTGGTAATACTATTGATAGAAAGCCAAATCACAGGTTTAAAAAAGACCCTTAGATATCCCAATAAGCAAGTTATTAAATAAGCCTTTTTTCTCCTAGTTCTGAAACATACATATTTTTTTAAAGTGACAGAATCTATGCATTCTATATTTGAGATTCAGGAAAGAAATTACAGTTTATAGTTTTATTATTTTTCAACACACAGGCAAAGAAATACTATGAAAAGCTGGGGGAGAATGCCCATACCGGTCATAATGAGCTCTGAATTGAGCATTAAGGTGATTGAAAACACTGGTTTCATTTCACAGAGAAGCAGTGTGGCATGGAAAAAAGATAGTGCCTGAATATTCAGATAAATCAGGTGTAAATCCTGCTTCAGACCTTAGGTAAGAAATGTCACTTCTAAAAGCCTAGTGTATCTATTTTCTTTGTAAGATGGAGATAGTAAAATTAATCATCCAGGTCGTAATGAGCGCTGGCATTTGTGTGTGCAGATACTCAGCAAATGGCAGCATCTATCATTCGGCCAAGAGTGTTCCGCACTACGTAGACAGACCCATTAGGTAAAGGCAAAGTCAATCTGTTTATTATGAAACCACCACTGCCGAGCTACGTGAGCATCCAGGTGTTTATAAACATATTGCACGATTGAAAGGAGGTACTTCCTGTACTCATCATTTTGAAAAACTGTGTTATTCCCACTCCCTACTATAGTTGAGAAATATGACCACACTATTTCTCTAGAGACAAATGTCATACGGACTTTCCTCTTAATGTTTTCCTCAACTTCACAAATGTTTTCTTACACCAGTAACACATCAAGTGAAGCACTGACAATGGAGTAACTGTAAGATTAGTGCTAGGTCCGGATGAACTTGCTATTACGGATAGACTCAAACTAAACTTGAAGTATTTGGTGTAGGACTTTGTAAATTCATTTAATTTTAAGAAGTACATGGAGACACTGAGATTTTAACAATTATAATATTGGATTAACTTTAAAGATTAGGACTGGAATCAACATGTTTATAGTCCAGTGGATTTTTTTAAGTGGTCTGCTGTGTTTATCAAAACTTGCTTACTCTGCCTAAGTATCTCCAATCCAGAAGATCTGAGAGCCTCTCAGTTCGGTTCCTCTGGATAATCCTTTGGCGGCGTGACTGTTTGCAAAATCCATAGAGAAACTGAGTCAGCTGATTGCAAGAATCATCTGGAGAACGGAACCGCCTGTCAACGATGTAAATACCTGAAAACACAAAAGCCAAAGCACAAATAAAAGTAGGACTCATCTTAAACATTTTATGATTTACTCTTTGGTTCCATCAAAGACCTATGCATTATCTACCCCTTACTCAGCAATTACCTCCACTTTATTCTTTTCTAAGGCTCTAATTCCCTTCTAATGGTTTATAACCATCACCGACACACAGCCAACAAAGTGGATCTTGCTGAAAATAAATTTGGCAGTCTAGGGATCAGTGGATCAGTGATCCTCCATGAGGCTGCTCAGTAGCCAGAATTTCCAGGGCAGGACATGGATATCTGTGCCTTTTAGGCTCCCCAGTATTCCCCCTGTGCAGCTGTGGCTGAAAACCACAGCTCTAGCCTGAGGAAAGAGCAACACTACACCTGTAAAAGACTAAGGAAAGCCAGGGCTCCGTGGCTCACACCTATAATTCCAGCACTTTGGCAGACAGAGGTGGGTGGATTCCTTGAGCCCAGGAGTTCGAGAACAACATGAGCAACATGGGGAAATCCCATCTCTACATACAGAATTTAGCCAGGCGTGGTGGTGTGTGCCTGTAGCCCCAGCTACTCGGGAGGCTGAGGCAGGAGGATCACCTGAGCCAGAAATATGGAAGCTGCAGTTAGCCAGTATCAGGCTACTGCACTCCAGCCTGGGCAGCAGAGTGAGAGCATGTTTCAAAAAAAAAAAAAAGAAAAGACCCAGGGAATTGGCAAGGTATAGGCAGAGAATGTGTCTCATTCTAACTTCTTACTGCTAGGCAATATGAACAGACAGATAATGGTATGCAAATTATTTTGCCATTTTAAACAACTTAAATAATTTAGGTGAATTTTGCTAACTTGAGATGGGCTTTTAAAATAATAACAATAATAATAATATATTTACTCTCTATCTAATGACCAATACATGTACTCTAAGTCCATGGTTATTGTAATATCACTTCTGGGCAGTAGAAGGGATCAAAATTCAGGGGTAAAAAAAGGTAAAGGACAAAGTTTATCCAAGTTTTGCACTCTTTTTGCAGTAATATATTAATATTAACAGCATTCTTACGTTATTTAGGGACCACATATTTAAAGCTCCTTTTTCCTCCACTTTTAGTTTAGGTTGAGGGGGTACATGTACACATTTGCTACATGGGTACGTTGCGTATTGCTGAGGCTTGGTGTACAAATGATCCCACCGCCCAGGTGATTAACATAGCACCCGGTAGGTAGTCTTTCAACCCACGTCCCCACGCAAGCAGTTCCCAGATGTCTACTGTTTTCATCTTTGTGTCCATATGTATTCAGTGTTTAGCTCCCACTTATACATGGGAACATGCAGTATTTGGTTATGTGTTCCTGCACTAATTCACTTAAGATAATGACTTCCAGCTGCAACCATGTTGCTGCAAAGGACATAATTCTATTTATAAATCTACTTTTTTTTTTTTAGACAGCCTGAGGCTCTGTCACCCAGGCTGGAGCACAGTGGCACAATCTCAGTTCACTGTCACATCCGCCTCCCAGGTTCAAGCAATTCTTGTGCCTCAGCGTCCTGAGTAGCTTGGGTTTCATGCGTGCACCACCACACCCAGCTAATTTTTTTTTTTGTATTTTTAGTAGAGATGGGGTTCAACGATGTTGACCAAGCTGGTCTCGAACTCCTGATCTCAAGTGATGCCCACCTCAGCCTCCCAAAGTGCTGGTATTACAGCCATAAGCCATCATGCCCGGCCTAAATCGACTTTTAATTAAACAAGAAATAAAAAAAATTAGTTTATTATCAGGATAGCTTTAGAGTTAGGCTTTGTAAAGACCCTGTGCCTTGTTTGGTTTGAGGTCACATCTCCCCAGGTTGAGTTAATGATGAAAAACCTCACCGTAAGCAGTAGGATCAGCCACGTGCTCCTGCATGAAACAGCCAAACCCGGAGAGATTCGTGGTCACACTGGGGATCCCCATCACAGTGCATTCAGCTGCCGGGGAAATAGATCAAAACTCAGCTTCAGACCAGCGCCTGTATCTTTGTACGCACTCAGAGGAAGAAAAGGCCCTAGTCCTCCTAATAACGGCAGTGTTCACTTTGTGTCAGGCACAACAGTAAACTCTTTACATGTTTCATTAACTTATTTAATCTCTCAACAACCCTGTGAGGTGGGACTACCATTATCCCCGTCCTACAGCTGAAGAAATTGAGGCACAAAGAAATTAATAACTTGCCTACCTTCACAAAGCCAAGGTTCGTGGTATAGCTGGGATTTGAAGTCAGGTACTCGGCTGCAGAACCCTTGGGCAGAACTGCCAGGCTCTACTGCACCTTCAGTCCCAGCTGGTTTTGGTTTTAGATTCTTTCTAGGCTTTGTTTCTATGTACTTGGCAAATTTATGGAGCAGGTTAAATACATTTTGGACATAACCAGCTTCTTCCTCCATTTAAATCTCTCTTGGCATATATTCCTTCCGCTGTCTCGGGAGTTCAATAAATGGATGATCTCTTTCAGTCCTCCCTCACCTTTTAATCAAAATCTGTTTTCTAGGAAATAACTGATACATCTTAAAAATTTTACTAGTCTCAAGGATGTGTGCATTTTTAAGAATTTATATTTGATAATGGAATTACCCTTGGTTGGTGAGTGGAGATGGATGAAAAAAGATCTTCCCATTCCCATGAAGTAATACAATTTAGACAGCAGCCTTATCTCTTGCTCTGCAAATGCTTTCCCTTGGTTTAGCTACACAGCTACGGAGTTGTGGTTCTCTAATTTTAGTGGCAGGTGGTGCAGAGGAGGAAAGTGGGATGGGGACTATCAGCCCTTTTGAGAGTCTGATGAACATTCTGGAGCTCATCTCCAGAAATATTCTTTTTTTATCCCTTTTTACACATTTTTATTTCCTCAGACTTCCTCCTGGATTCAGCTCCACCTTTTATGGGAATTGGGAGTTGAAGAGTATCCTATTCTTTTTCCTTTTTTCTTTTTCCTTCCTTCCTTCCTTCCTTCCTTCCTTCCTTCCTTCCTTCCTTCCTTCCTTCCTTCCTTCCTTCCTTCCTTCCCTCCCTCCTTCCCTCCTTCCTTCCTTCCTTCCTTTCTTTTTTCTTTAAGTTCTGGGATACATGTGGTGAACATGCAGGTTTGTTACACAGGTATACATGTGCCATGGTGGTTTGCTGTACCCATCAACCCACCACCTAGGTTTTAAGCCCCGCTTGCATTAAGTATTTGTCCTAATGCTCCTCCTCATCTTGCCCCCACCCCCGGCATGGACCCCGATGTGTGATGTTCCCCTCCTTGTGTCCAAGTGTTCTCATTGTTCAACTCCCACTTATGAGTGAGAACACACACTGTTTGGTTTTCTGTTCCTGTGTTTGTTCACCAAGGATGATGAAAATTTTATATACTTATGTGTATTCGTATATGTATCAATTCACTATGTAGTAAAATTCTAGGTACCCATGAAGTTCAGTATATGTTCATCAAATTAATTTAATAAAATAAGTGCTTATATTTATTTGGCTCTCTGAAAACACATTTTGATGAATACTTTCTGGAGAGAGTTAGATCTAGTAATGCATAAAAAGATTATTCTAAAAAAAATTAGAGAGCTATCTAATATGCTAATGATAAATGTATGCCAACAAAAGTCGCATTCTTTCTAAAACTGTAGGTCAAAGGAAGAGTGGCCAGCTCCCTTGGGATAATGTAAAACACAGACTGACTCATTCACTATGGAGTATTCCAGAAACTCCCTTATTTGTCTATTTATAATATCTTTTATAACATCTTCTTTGGCCTTTATCTTAAAACATTAGCTATATCTCCCCTATCATTTTTGGGTTAAGTATAACTTTGCCCTGTAAAATGACATTGTGGTGGACAGTCTGCTGTGAGCTCTATAACATTTTTTTGACCTGACAGAAAGGACTTCCCACTTGCCTCAGTCACTCATGCCTTTGGTTGTGTGCTCCTCTATCCATGATACTTCCAATAGTAAATTGTGTTACTAGAAATAATAAGGTCAAAAACAAAGTGTTAAGTTCAACAGTGAAATGTGTGCTTTATGCATCTCAGAAGATAGATACCCTATTGCAAGCATTTGAGATATTCATGTGGACGTTTCATAAGTAAGAAGATACCACCTTCACAAAAGTAGACCATTTTTAGATCTGCAAGACAGATACCTGGAGGAGTTAGATACAAACATTTGCTATGTCACATTTCAAGACAATCCTTTGCTTATTTTTCCCAAGAAATGTTAAAATTTGTATAGCTGCTGGCAAATTATGCTTGGTGAAACCTAGAACAATAGAAAAGGACCCTAATGTTGTTCCTACTGTAAATAACATAGGATTCTATTTTTGTAGAATTTTAAGTTCTATATTTTAATTACAGGACAAGAATGCAAATAATGGCTGGGCGCGGTGGCTCATGCCCGTAATCCCAGAACTTTGGGAGGCCGAGGCGGTTGGATCACCAGAGGTCAGGAGTTTGAGACTAGCCTGGCCAACATGGTGAAACCCCGTCTCTACTAAAAATACAAACATTAGCCGGGCATGGTGGCGGGCGCCTGTAATCCCAGCTACTTGGGAGGCTGAGACAGGAGAATTGCTTGAACCTGGGAGGCAGAATTTGCAGTGAGCTGAGATCGCACCATGGCACTCTAGCCCCTGGGAACAAGAGTAAAAATTCATCTCAAATAATAATAATAGAAAAATTTCTTCCTCTTCATAATTCAGCCTGTTATTCCACCTCATCTTGGCCTCTGCTGCTCCTTACTTGAGCTTTATGTTAATGATGACATTGAGATACAAAAGGTAAAATTTATTATCTCTGTTATAAATAAAAACTTTTTCTGAAGTTTTTACATATCACAAGTGAAGAGGCTGGGTGCGGTGGCTCATGCCTGTAATCTCAGCATTTTGGGAGGCTGAGGCAGGTGAATCAGTTAAGGCCAGCAGTTTGAGACCAGCCTGATCAACATGATGAAACCCCATCTCAACTAAAAATAATATAAAAATTGGCTGGGCGTGGTGGCATGCACCTGTAATTCCAGCCACTTGGGAGGCTGAGGCAGGAGACTCTCTTGAACCCAGAAGAAGGAGGTTGCAGTGAGCCAAGATCATGCCACTACATTTCAGCCTGGGCAACAGAGTGAGACTCCAGCCCAAAGAAATAATAAAATCACAAGTGAAATTTTATTTACATTGGGCAGAAAAATCTCTAATAATTAATAAGAGATGGAAAAATTATTGTATTCTTTGCATTGGCATGTATTTAAAGTATTTGTTTCCCTTTTAATTAGACATTTCAGTACAAATACAAATCGATTACTTTTTTTAAAATTTTATTTATTTATTTATTTATTTACTGAGGTAGTTTTGCTCTTTGGCCCAGGCAAGAGTGCAGTGGCATGATCGTGGCTCACTGCAACCTCCGCCTCCCAGGTTCAAGCAATTCTCCTGCCTCAGCTTCCTGAGTAGCTGGAATTATAAACATCTGCCACCATGCCCAGCTAATTTCTGTGATTTCTTTTTTTTTTTTTTTTTTTTTTGAGATACAGTCTCACTCTGTCACCTAGGCTGGAGTGCAGTGGTATGATCCTGGCTCACTGCAACCTCCGCCTCCCAGGTTCAGGCAATTCTCCTGCCTCAGCCTCCTGAATAGCTGAGATTACAGGCATGTGCCACCACGCCCAGCTAATTTTTGTATTTTTAGTAGAGACGAGGTTTCACTATGTTAGTCAGGCTGGTCTCGAACTCCTGACCTCATGATCCACCCGCCTCAGCCTCCCAAAGTGCTGGGATTACAGGCATGAGCCAACATGCCTGGCCCAAATTGATCACTTTTGATGCTAATGGCAATGATGCTAGTAGGGTCCAGAAAATAAAAATACCTAGTGGATCTGACAATCTACCGTCTGTTAAAATAAAATAATAAAATAAAAAGGAAGGAGAGTGAAGGAGGAGTTTTTGAATGGAATGATGTCATTGTTGACAATACTTACCACTGAATTGCTCGTCTCTCTTAGTACTTATTATTTTGAGGCATAGGAATGTGAAGAAGGCTTTTCACTGTACACCTTTTTACATTTGTTTCCCTACCATGTGACTGTGTTCCCTATTACATATTAAATACAGCCCTTAAATTTTTAGAAAAAAATTCTTCTGGAATAAGTTTTAAAGAACTACATTACTAGACTATTATTTCTTATATTAATCCTACTTATAGTCAATTTCTCCTTCACACTAAAAGGCGGCAGATAGAGATAGCTAAATAATATATTATCTTCATAATACATTCCTTTTTCTTTGGAATTCATTGAGGCAATATCTCACATACCTCCTAAAATATGCCCAAACTGTGGTATACTTGTATGATCTTTATCTTTATTCTTAAGTATTCATCTACAAACCATAAAATTCATCCCTGAGAGAAATTCAACCAAAATTTAAAGCTGAAGAAATGAAATCTTAGAAATTTAATATCAACTTTGAATATTATATATATGCACATAGAATAATATACTAACAAAATCCAAAACATTCCACATTCTATACATGACACATACCTGGAGTATAACCCCAGGGTTCATAGTATGATGGAAATACTCCAAGGTGACAACCTCTGACAAACTCTTCATAATCCATCGGTAGTAAGGGGCTGGTGGAGGATAGAAACTCTGGGTGCAAAATCACCTGAAAAAGGAAAATTCTAATTAAAAAAAAGAAAAAGAAAAAGAAGCAAATAACGTGAAAAAAATCTTTAATCTGGTTATTTCAGTACTGTAACCATAAAATCCTTGTGTTCTAGATTCATGAAGAAAAAAGAGATAAGACAAAAGAAAGAGGAAAAAGCCTTGGTGGTTTGTTCTCCTCTCTCCATTCTGTAAAAGTGTCTACTCTACATATTTAACTTTCTCGCAGATTCCAAGGCTTAGATTGAAGGATAAGCAGTTAGCATGCTCATTTTTGCTCTCACACTAAACTACGTCCTCCAATCCAGCTTTGACATGCAATAAAGATTATATTTGATTATCTAATTGCTCCTGTCTTTACTCAATTTGTTCCCAACTCTAGCAGGAAAGAGGGAGCTACATAACGGACCACTCTCACATGCCTTAAGCATGACTTATTCAAGTGAAATGGAGCTAAGGCACAGGGAAGACGTTCTAGGAATGCCATCTAGACTACATCATGCCAGAGGACTTCATGCAAGCCACTATCCTCTCTTGCCTAGAGGCCATCACCTCCTAGCATACTTGCCTGCTTCTTTCTGTTCCACTAGGGTTTCTATCAACACAGCTAGACTGATTCTTTAAAAATGTCAGCCACTCCCTTGATTAAAGTTGTTCAGTGGCTTCCTATTTTACCCAGAGTAAAAGCCAAAGTGTTGATCATAGCTTCTAAGCAGTGGGGTGCTGCTAAATATTTAAGAGCTGAAACACTGAAGTATAAATATATATTAGTACATATATTTGTTATAATTTTTAACGGCATAAATGATGTATATACAATTACCAAATAATAAAAGATGTTATAACATGTAGATGTTTATAACAACTTTATTCGTAATTGCCAAAACTTGGAAGAAACACAGATGTCCTTCAGTAAGTGAATGAATAAATAAGTTGTGGTACATCCAGACAATGGACTATTATTCAGTGCTAAAAAGAAATAAGCCATCAAGTCATGAAAAGAAATAGAGGAAACGTAAATGCATACTACTAAATAAAAAAAGTTCATCCAAAAATGCTACATGATGTATGATTTCAACTATGTGACAATCTGGAAAAAGTTAAACTATGAAACCAGTAAAAAGATCAGTGGTTTCCAGGGGTTAGGGGTGAGGGAGTGATGAACAGGCAGAGTATAGACAATTTTTAAGGCAGGGGAACTATTCTGTATCATACTATGATGATGAATACATTTGTCAAAACCCATAGCATGTATAACACCAAGAGTGAACCCTGATGTAAACGATGGATCTTGGGTGATAATTATGTATCAGTGTAGGTTCATCTATCTATTAGAACGAATGCACTGCTCTGGGGGATGCTGATAATGGGGGGTTCTGTGCATGTGAGGGGGCAGAGAGCAAATAGACACTGTACTTTCTGTTCAATTTTGCTGTGAACCTAAAACTGTTCTAAAAGACAAAGTCTATTAAAAATAGATATAGACAATACTCCTTATTGTGAACTTTATATAGTCAATTAATTCTCACAATTTGCTATTTTTATTTTTGCCAAAATTTTGTATTCATAACCAATTTATGGTCTCGATGGCTGAACGTGGCTCTGACATAAGTGTTGGTTGATTTCCTTTGTTAGTTGTTAGAAGGAGCTGAAATAACAGAGACATTTGTTGAAACTTCACAAGTTCATCAGTAATGAAAGTGACTTCTTTTCTGTGTCAGATACTAGTTTTTGAACATGGAGAAAATAGTTTTTTTTTTGCCTCTCACAATGTAAAAACTACAGATCCAGAAATAATACGAAGTAAACGAAGCCAAGATTTGTAGTATTTAACTATTTTCATTCTAAAAATACTCCCACTACCACCAAAGCCATTTTCAAGCTACCAGTATAATGTTGCTGAATTCAGAGACAGGGAAAGCAGGAGCACATCATTATAAAGCATTTGCACCATAAAGATCTCACAGACATCAAGAGCCTCAAGTGCACAGGTCATGGTAATGTGCAGTAAATAATTGGGATGAGATTAACTCTGAGCATTACCTTTCATTTAATATAGTTGACTTACTTTTAAGTTTACGTAATGTAATTTTAGCAATAGCTGCATTTAAAACTGTCTCACAAAGTCTCTGAACATTTAACTATTGGCTCTTGTGCACCTGTGTGAACCAGTTCTGGGACGACACTGCAGACAAAGAAACAAGAGCAGGGACATTCTGTATTTGCTGTTCAAGTTTGCTCTGAACCTAAAGCTGCTGTAAAAATAAAGTCTATTAAAATGTCTATGTACAATACTCCTTATTGTGAATTCTATATAGTCAATTCTTTTACACGATGTGCTATTTTGCCTAGCATGTTTGTTTGTTTTTTGGCCCATATTTTGCCCACATGCTATTTTATCCTTCTGGTTCCTACTATTCTGTCTCTCAATTCAGTGATATCACATTGATAGGTTGACAATGGCCTTGGTGACAGTGAGAGTTTTTAGAGAATGAAAATAGGCAAATACTAAAATCATGGCTTGATTTACTGTGCATTGATTTCTGGACACAAGACAGTGATGGAAAAATATTAATAGTTCAGGTTTAGCCTTAAAATGTGTTGTATCTATAGCCATTACATTGTGAGTGGCACAAAATATTACTAATGATGACAGCATGGCTATAATTGGAAAGTTGTGACTACAATAGCTATTTAACTTGCTAACCGTGTGAATGAATTATCCTATTTCTCCCACTTACTACCGTTCTCGCTGAGCTATTATTAGATTATCACTCAGCCTCAGCCATACCTAAGAGGTTATTGAAAATAAATAACATCTGATATAAAAGTACGGGAAATCTCACATTTACAAAAAATTCCAAGTACAATATGAAGAGAATTAATATATTTTCAAAACCATTCATAAACTGCTGGCTTGATACCCAGCATTCCCAAGTACTTAATGTATATTTCCCACAAACAAGAGCATTCTTACATAATCTTACATAAACATTAAAATTAGGAAATTCATGCTGATACATACGTTATAATCCTTAAACCCCATTTAAATTTTTCTGATGATTCAAATAATGATTTTTAAACCAAAGGATCCAGTTCAGAATTACATATTGCATCAGTTGTCACATCTCTCTAGAGTCCCTCAATTTGGAAGAGTTCATGGGCTTTTGTTGGCTTTCCTGACTATATTATATATGACATATATAAAATATATATATTTTGAAAGACTATAATCTATTTATTTTGATATATGTTCCTCAATGTGTGTCTGTCTTATGCTTCTTCATAATTAAATTTAGGTTATACATCTTTGGCAGATACATCGCAGAAGTGATGCCGTGTTCTTTTCATTGCATTTTAATCAGGCCGAAATGTTTTCTATTTTTTTCATTAATGATGATGTTTATTTTGATCTCTTGATTGAGGCCAAGCCTTTTTGGCTTCTCCACTATAAAGTTATTCTTTTTTCTCTTTGTTATTAACAAGCATTGGGGCAGTTATTTTGAAGCTGTGTAAATATCCCATTCCTAATTAAACTTTTAATTACTACTTGTATTGGACTTCTGGTTTCTTATGTCATTCAGTGCACCCTAATTCCTTCCTACCCTTATTTATTTCGATACTCAAATTGTCCATGATTTGGCCAGTGGGAGCCCCTTCAAGATTGTTTCTGTATATATTTAACAAATCTTCGTTGTTCCTTGAGCATTTCTTTGATTTTTGACAAAAGGAGTTCCAGGCTCACCTTGTACTTTTTACCTGTCACCATTCTAGAATCACCCAATTCCAAAGGCAGCCCTGGTTCTCTTCAGTAGCAAATGGTGTTTAGAAATCAAGACCCGGCTACTAGGTGTGCTCATTGTCATTGGCCTATTACTCCCCCAAATGCTCTGAGTAGACAAAGAACACACACACACACACACACACACACACACACACACACACACTTGGTTTTTGCTACCTTTAATTTGCTACATACTAGGTTGATTTTCTTCTGTGTAACTAATCTTTCTCCACACACCCCCTCACATGCACGGATGCCCTCCTCGCTCCACTCTGGCTCTGATATTGTTTCAGGCTGCTCCTCTTTGTGTCGACATTTCTCAGACTGCTTGGATTCTGATGCCTTCCTCTGAACTTCCACAGCACCCTCCCTGTTCTAGTGCAGATACCTACCTTGTGTTGCCTACCTAATGGCTTTAGAACTTAATTGTTCTGGAAAGGAAAAGGAAAGAGAAAAAGAATAGAGACCGGGTGCGGTGGCCCACACCTGCATTTTGGGAGGTCAAGGCAGGTAAATCACTTGACGTCAGGAGTTTGAGACCAGCCTGACCAACACGGTGAAGTCCCATCTCTACTAAAAATACAAAAATCAGCCAGGTGTAGTGGCATGTGCCTACAATCCCAGCTATTTGGGAGTCTGAGGGAGGAGAATCTGCTTGAACCTGGGAGGCAGAAGTTGCAGTGAGCAGAGATCACGCCACTGCTTGCCAGCCTGGGCAACAGAGTAAGATTCCGTCTTAAAAAAAAAGAGAGAGAGAAAGAAGACAAACTATTTTTACACAAGCACACTACCCTTTTCATGTTTATTCATGAAATAATAAGTATACATTCTTCAGAAGTGATTACTTTGAAGAAAAACCCTAATTTGGATACGTAACAATTATCATTAGATTTGTATAACATTTTATATATTACAAATATACATATTATCTCATTTAATCTTAGTGACATTGTGCAATGGGTAAGGAAGCTAAGACATAAAGAGGCCATTAAATTATCAATTTTAAATCATATGCCAAGGATTAAAGTAAAAAAAAATTAGCAGGCGCAGTGGCTCACGCCTGTAATCCCAGAACTTTGGGAGGCTGAGGTGGGCAGATCACGAGGTCAGGATTTCAAGACCAGCCTGGCCAACATGGCGAAACCCCGTCTATACTAAAATACAAAAAAATTAGCTGGGTGTGGTGGTGTGTGCCTGTAGTCCCAGCTACTCAGGAGGCTGAGGCAGGGGAATCGCCTGAACCCAGGCAGTGGAGGATGCCGTGAGCCGAGATCGTGCTACTGCACTACAGCCTGGGCGACAGAGCAAGACTCTGTCTCAAAATAAAAAAATCTTAAATCTTTGTTTTATTGAAAAGTTTTACTCCTTGGATCCTCAAGGACATTACAAACATTAGTTATATCTCAGCAGATCCTTAAGAAGGAGATCAGTTAAACTTAAGAAGAAATAAAATGATAAAGGATCCAAACCCTAGTACCTAAGAATTCCATCACAGAAATCACAAAATGGCAAAGTAAAAGTGAATAAAAATATTTTCATTCATAGAATATGATTTGAGTTTTTATTGTGTGCAAAGTACCACACTACAAAAAGAGACAAAAGACACAGATACTGTCAGACACTGTATCTGGGCCATCAACAAATTGGCAACCCATTGTACTCTCTTGGCAAAAAAGAAGAAAGAGGGATTTGAAAAGCATTGTGTCTACTTCAGCATTTCCAAGCTTAGGAAAATTTGCACAGTCCAGAGCCCATTTTGGAGCATGAAAACACCACGGTTTGTTTGGCTCCCAGCCAAACAGAATGACAGCACAAAATAAGAAAACAGCTGCTCTGGCCCTAAACCCACCAATGGCAGAAGCCCAGGGATGAGCCAGGGATATTAGAGGTCAGTTCAAGGTTATAAAGAGGATTAAATGAGATCCTGTATACAAAAGCCCCCAGGAAAGCTCCTGGCTCTCAGCAGGCCCTACCTCGATCAGTAGGAAAAACAAAACAAGAAACGACAAAAACCTGTCTGACTCTATTTTTTCTAGAAGAGAAGTAATGTCTCAGGAAGTTAATCTTTACACTGTGGCAGCCCAGAGTCGAAACATGAAATCTTCAGCCTGAGCTGTCCTCAGCTAAGGCAAAAATGATAAATTCAAATTCAAAATAATCTGCTATGCTTGCTGAATCAAACATGACATTCATATCAAAAACCTATCAATGCACTCTGGGAGTTTACAAGCACTCTACAGAGTTTTTAAAGTAAGCAGGTGATTAAGTAGGTACTTGACTCAGCACAGGCCTACGTTATCACCAAGTTTTAAAAGAATTCTGTTAATAAAATGTAATACCTGATTCTGAATTGATGGGAGTTTCTCTCAGTGCTTTGAGTATATAGCAAATGTCAGGAAGGTGCTGTACATTTATTTTTTTTGTATGTCTGTGGCTGTCTTATGATAATAATAAATGAACATCTCAAAATATTCACAACTAAAGCTGTATAGACATAAACTATGAGACAAACTTTCATCTTCACTCACCCTATGAAAGTCAAGTGCTTTGATATCTCTGTGGCTTTTCATCTACTTTTTTTCCTTTGCCTGCCGAGTCCCCTTTCCTGTAATTTTCATAATGAATTTCTGATCATTAATCAAGATCTAGCTAACACGTCATCTTTTTAAATAAAACATCTTACCCAATCCTGCAGGCGAAGATAAATCCACTTTCTTCAACTCTCACCAAACTCTATTCCCATCTCTCTTCTAAAAATAATGAGTTCCCATCATGTGTCAGATACTGGGTTAACTACTAAAAGAAGCTAATACTTATTATGAATTTACTATGTGCCAAGCTGTTAAATGCAGCACCTATTTATGAATTTTTTATGAGACGGGTTCCCACTCTGTCGCCCAGGCTAGAGTACAGTGGCACATTCATAGGTGGCTACATCCTCAAACTCCTGGCCTCAAGTGATCCTCCAGCCTCAACCTTTTGAGTTCACTGGGATTACAGGCAGGACCCACCGTGCTTGGCCCATGTCTAATTTAATCCTCACACCTCTGAGTGTGAGGCTATTTTATCACCATTCACAGATGAGAAGACTGAGGTACAGACAGATGCAGTGAATTTTCAAATTAGATAAGTGGCCGGGATTTAAAGACAGTCTTCATGGACTCAGCCTGTGGCTGCCTTCTTTGTCAATCTGCCAGCCCTGGAAATACAGTTCAGCTTTCTTTCTAGAGATCTTAGTCCCGGGGATCTTGACTGACAGCACCAATTGCCTTCCCTCTGGATCTATTGCAGCAACTGCTCCTAACCGGCAGGAACTGGCAGAAACTAGTACCAGTATGAAGTCATTTCTGCCCAACAGGTGCATTTAATGGGCAATTTTGGTTTGGGGAATCCCTATCCCTATTAATAGGAATCACTATTCAATTGCTCATAGAATCAGACACCTATCTGCCAATCTGAAACTATTTTGGTAAGTGGGAGGTACCTATAAAGATAAAACAGAATGAAAAGTTTGCTGAATACAAGAAAAAGTTGTATGTAGTAACATTAACACTAATATATTTAAAATAAGTTAATGGTAAACCAGTGTAAACACACACACACACACACACACATAAAATAGGCTTATTTTGTATTAAGAAAGGAAGCACTATAAAATAGTTCTGAATTTGTGTTAGCTGTAGACTGCACTATTGAAAACTTTTTTTTTCTATTTTTTCTGTGTACATGTGTATGTATGCGTTCTTTTTTTTTTTCCTTCCATTAACTGACAAGCCATGTTGAGTGGTCTTGGACCATTGCTTTTTCCCTGTGTCAGTCACAAGTGCTGCTGCTGTGTGTATATATTTTGTATATTAGCCAATTTTTATTAATTCTTGTTTTTATTAAATACATTTGACTTTCCTTTCTAGGAAAGAAAGAAGGAAGGAAGGATGGATGGAACAAGGAAAGGAAGAAAGGAAGTAAAGAAGAAAGAAAGAAAAAGAAGAAAGAAGGAAGCAAGGAAGCAAGGAAGAAGGGTGGGTGGAAGAAAGGAAGGAAGAGAAAAAGGAAGGAAGGAAGAATGGAAGAATGGAAGGAAGAGAGAAAGGAAAAATAGAAGGAAGGAAGGAAGGGAGGGAGGAAGGAAGGAAGCAGGGAGGGAGGGAGGGAGGGAGGGAGGAAGGAAGGAAGCAGGGAGGGAGGGAGGGAGGGAGGAAGGAAGGACAGACTAGGCATTTTTAAACCTGGACTGCAGTCTATGGCTCTTCCTGCATCATCCTTCCTTCCTGCTCTGATCTGCATCTCCCTGCCTGCGCTTGCTTGCAACTCCTTTATCCTCTCACCTTGGTGTCTGCTTCTCAGAGAACCTAAACTGAGACAATACATATGAGACATGATTGTTGCCTCAAAGAACTGAGTTCTTCTAGAGAAACTGACACAAAACATTTTTAAAAATACAATTTCTTGTGATAACTCCTATAACTGCAGTAGATATAAAGTGTCTCGAGAATGCAGATAAGGAAACACTGTTCCTGTCTGGAGTAGAGGAATGTGTGTTAGGGAAAGGTGCAAGGAAGTAATGACTTTTAGGTTGCAGCTTAAAAGGATTATTAGAATGACAGATAAGTAGTTCAGAAAGAGACGATAACATCAGGAAGGACACAGAGGTATGAAAGTGTCATATATGTTTAGAAAATAAGGTACTTTTCCATTCCTGGAAAATTGTTTCATGCAAAACACTTTTAAAACGTAAATCAGCAAGGCATTCTTCCTTTAGAGCTCCGAATTTCAAGGTACCTTCCAGCCTCAGTCTTCCCAAGAGCAAGGGAAGCATGAACTATTGCCAGCTACATGTCCCGTCCCTCCTTTTCCCACTTTCCCTCATCCCTCCCTTCTATCTGCATGTGTAGTACATAACATGTGCCAGGCAACAGACAGTTCCCCACATAACCAGTTACATCTACCTTGACTCTGTCAGTGCGATTGTTGAAAAGTCCAATCCGTCTAATGGTGCTGAGGATGGGGTCAGTGGAGTCATCAATCATATTGTGCGTGGTCACTGGGGGCAATGACTGTCGCTGAAGTATGAGAGGGAAGGAAATGTCAATTGCGGAGAGAATTAACAAGGGTGACTAATTTCAACAACAGATCATTGACATTTCATACAACCTTTACACCTTCAGTCTTTTGAGAGGGCACTAATGATGACTAACTCTTGTGCGTGTTTCAAAGGAAGATAATGGGTTGAAGAATCTCCTCCACTTACTATGAACACATGAAGCTTTTGTTTTCCGCCTGCAGCTACTATATCAGAGACTAGACTTCTTGACTGCTTCCGGGACTTATTTGGAATATAAAGGTGTCCTGAAGTCTTGACTTAAGATGAACTTTACTGATTTCTTTTAGCAAGGCTGTCCTCCGGTGTCCGATTCCTCCGTGCTATAGCAAGCATTCTGATGCAAGTCTAACACATTTATTTTACCTCTTTTGTAATAATTCCACTTGACTAAGGAATATTCTTTTCTCTAATGTGACTCAAATATTATGTTTTGGAAATATTTAGGACTTTTTGTAGTTACTACACTATACACAATTTTTATATTGAATATATTGATTCAAAAATAATTTTGTGAGTGGAAAGATAAGTTTCATGAGATTTTTTAAAGGAGCCCTTAAAATCATTAATGAAAAAACATGCAAAGTAAATATTTAAGTGACTATGTAAGAATGTCTTTTCTAGCCTCAGGCCTAAACATTTTCCAAATTAACACATTTCAATAAATTAAAATACTGACTTAGATAGAATTTAATAACTATGGGACATGGTGGGTGCTTTTTCCTTATTACCTGAGTTGAAAAGATGGCTCTTTTCATAATTGTTATATCATCTCGATCTAAAATATTGTTCATGTCAGGAATTTCTCCTCTGCAGAAAAAAATATTAATAACAAAAATAAAAGCAGTTGGCAATACTTCAGTGACTCTTAAGCATCAGATATATTAGATATTTTATGTATTTTAATAAATAATGTTGGTTATTCAATTAAGTAAATATGTTCATATAGACTTAATATATAAGTAGATATTTGATGCATATTATCAATATATATTTTGAATTAAAATCTCATGAAGTCTCCCTCAGCTTCAGATTGATATATCAACCTTTAATGACTTCCTCATTGAATTAGAACTTGCCTGCATATAAATGTATTCTTATCTGTACAGATGTTTACAAGTTTTGTCAAATGAAGGATTAAACGCTATTCACATGACATAATACATTTTCAAATGTTATTAATTCCTTTATATTTGGAACAAAATATGTTCAGACTCTTCAAACTTAACAACTTAAATAGCATTACATATTGTTGTCTAAGTTGTTAAGTTTGAATAGTGAAGCCTTAAGAACAAAGCATTCCAAACACCTACCTTAATAAGGCATCATAGAGTTTTTTTCCAAACTTTTCCTTCACAGAATGTGCAATGTCCCTGTTTCAAACAGAAAGACTTATCATTTAAACAGTATGACAAGGTTTAGTCTTTATTTATCGTGATAATACTGTTTTTTTTAATTGACATTCTTTGAAATTGCAGGTACCTTTTTTATAGCCTTTTTTATTATTTCACTACTTTCCAATTCAGCTTAAGTTAAAATCTCCAGAGCTGCGGCAACAGAGCACCATGGCCAGCACAAAGAGCTTAAAATTATTTTGCTTCATGATGATTGAAATAGGGTAGAGAGCAGAGAGGGAGAGTAGATGGAGGTACAGATGTAACAAGATGGGAATTCGGTGATCGTTGTTGAAACTGAACTGTGAGTATACAGGAGGTCCTACTACTAAGCTTTTTACTTGACATATTTTTAGAATTTCACAATAAAAAGTTTAAAAATGCTTGACTCATCTTTTAAGATTTCTACAGGGCCTCGTTCCTTCAGTGGTAGTTTTTTATAACACGTATAATGTTATAGGCATCACAATAATCTAAACTAGTAGCACAATGAAAAAAGGGCCAAGTATTATTTGTCTGTAATAATCTTAAGGAAAAAACAAAGTTCAAGGCAATACATGAGATATCATTCACTTAAAAGAAATCTTTTTACATTTATTGCTTGAGAACATTCACAGGATGTGAGATTACCACAGCTGTTTTCGGACTGCTTGTCCTTTCAGGGTTTCCACATTGAAATTGTTTGTCTTGGCAGGCATAATGAAAAACACCACCACTGTGACCTCACTTTTGTGCATCTGATGAGGAATTAGAAAACACAGCAGAGTCAACTATCTAAGGTTTTTAAAAAATATAATAGATGGAAATTAAACATTGAAAAGTAGTGTTTTAAAATATCAGTAGATAAAAAGACTACCAGTAGATAAAAGGAATAGTTATATATGATTCACAGACAAATTATATTCACCTTCCTGAGACTTTTTCAGACGTTTTAAATTAAATTTTAAATTTTCAATCAGTATTTGTCAATGAACAAATTGACTTTCAATCATTTTTGTCAATTAACAGTTAAAAAATTCAAACAAAATATTTTCATGCCTTTGACAATCTAGAATAGATAACAATTGCTATTGATGACATTCGCTTTTCTGTGGTCAGGCATATAGCATGAATGAGAGCTAATATTACAAGATCAAAATTAGTTCTTTAAAATTTCGGAGTGGAAATTTAATGAAGATTTAAGCTTTGGTAAAAGCTAAAATAATATTTAAATTTTTGGCTTATTCACATTGATTGATGACAAATAGATTATTTACATTTTTCTGCTAAATGTCTTGATTCAGATGATGTTATATTTTGGTTTTTGTCCCTAAAATAAAGAAGCAAGCACATACTGAGCACTTTTGGGATAGCAGGCAATGTGCTGGAGTGCTTTAAATATACTACTAATAATCATGTACAATAGGCATCATTCTCCTCATTTTATTAATGTTGAAAGAAAGGAATGAGAGGTTAAATATTTTGTCCGAGTTCCTATAACAGGTGAGCGTCAAAGCTGACATTTAAACTGCTGGCTTAGCATCTCTCAAAAGGAAAAGACTTGTTAAGAAGCCATAAGAATGAAAGCATAAACTCACTTAAAACCATAACCTCTATGAATGTTCATGTGTTCTGAAAATGACTGACTAGCTCCAGTGTGGGGCACTTTACCATCTGGTATGTGGCCTCTTCTCTCTGGGGCCTAACATTTTATAAGGGAAAGCTACAGAAGGTGTACAATAGGAAACTCAGCCTAGAACAGCCTATGTGCTATCAAAGAATAAATGTACTACGTGGAGAAAGAATGCCTTCCTTTAACTTCTCCAAGTATTGCAGTTATCTTTCATGTCTAGTATAATAGTATTCCGTCTTCTCCTCATAGCTATAAAGTGTATATTTAATAATTATCTAAATACATTTATTAATAATGTCCCTAAAGGCTCTGTATATTTGATATAGTTATGTGTCCATTATAAAGCTTGTTGAATGGATATGTACTAAGAAATATGAAGTAAGATTATTTAAGAATAATCGGTTAAGCCTTCAGTTCTATTTTGCATAGTTGGATTTTATTAATGAATTGCTTTCTTATTAATGTGGCTTCAGTAACTTTTTTAGCATATTTGGTCTACTGTCTGCTCTAAAGCAAGGATACATCTTTCTTCAAGAAATAAAAATTTAACTGGAGGGTAGTACAAAGCTCAAGAAAGTTTAGCTTTTCTCATTATCTCATTAAAACTGAAGTTCTATACTGTTCTCCTGTAAATATTTTCCTATTACTTATTCTATATGTTTATGTGATGGGATTGGAATATAAACCAATAGATTCCATCAATAGCTATGACATGGTACCATTTTTTATAGTTGCTTCTATTTATGCATATTGTATTGCTGGATTAGTTGAGAACCCACTTTGTATCCTACCTTCCTGAATTTAAAAAAAATGATTTCATGTTGTTGGGAGTAAGAACCTTCTTTTTCCTCCTTCATGCTTTCATGTGGTGGGATATTCACTAGTTCAACAGTTTAAGACTCTCAGTTGCAGGGAGGAGGTGTGGCTGGGGAGGTGAGTGAACTGAGTATAAATGTGTCTGCCTTGTTCTATAGAGAGTTAGTGCTGTCCGATTTGGCTGCCACCTATATGGCACATGGTACTCTGAAGGCTTGCTTCAGTCAGGGGAGGAGAGTTATGGTCAGATCTTTCTATGATTAAATGGCTAAGAGTAATAACAAGGTTCAGTATTAGGATGCCACTGTCATGTGCATAAGCCACATCTTCCATTACAACCTTCATTGATTTTTTTGAAAATTAATATTTTGCTCTCCATTCACTTGATTTCTCTCTATATATTGATTTCAATTGATTACAAACTCATGTGGGGAAAGGGGATGTTATAATGACTTCTTAAAACATAGCATGTATAATGGGATAAGCTTAAGATTCTCCTAAGGGAGGAAAAAAGGAAGACATTATAGACAAATACACAAGTCAACAATGTGCCAAACTCCAATATGTAAATGGAAAGGCTGAGGTCATTTCTAGAACATGGTCATTGTTAATTCTCCTGAAAACTATTTAAGATGCTAAAAAATTCTTCACTTCCCACAGAAGAAAGTTCTCCCTACAAAAGCATTATATCATGTCCTAGATCTTTCTTACCCTCAGCAGGAAATTTAGCCTGGATAAGGATTCTAGGAAGATGTCAGCTCCTTTGTTTGAAAACTCATACCTCCCAGCAATGAAAAGGAACAAAGCCTTTTCAAGATCAAAGTCGAGGTGACTAAAATAAAACAAGACAGTTTCAAATGAAATACAGCAACCACAACGAAACGTACACACGAATTCTGCTAAAGTACAAAGGGGCTGGAAAGGTAAACATTTACTATTACAAGTCTGTTTTCTCCCTACCAATGATCCCTCATATCTGATGCTACTTTTTTTAAAATAAAGAAAATCATACCCATAGAAATGACCTCGAACGAAATCTTGGATTCTGGCCTTGTACATGGCATGTAGATTTTGAAACTCATGCACTGCTGAAAATTTCTTAACATTCAAGCCATTTGGAGTAACTACATCTAGAAAAGCAGAATAAAATTATTATGAAATTTCTCTTTTCAAAGAGGGCACCATTATAAAAAAAAGTATCTTTAAATCTATAAAGTCCGCTGTTTACTAACATTTCTAGTTTCCAATTACCATAAAATGTAAAATGTATAAAACTTCCGGTTCATAAAAAATTTCATAAAATTTACAACAAATTTGATCTTTTGATTGAAATAGGAAATCAGAAATACCTGACCAAAATAACAATGAGGGACTGGTACAATGAGACAGGTTAATCAATAGCAATAATAATTGTTATTACAGTTTTATTTTACTGATTATTTACTGTGCATCAGGTGTTGCTCTAAAGGTTTACAGTGTAACTCCATTTCCTCAACAAACCAATGTAGTAAGTGCTCTTATCTGCATTTTCAGAGGTGGAAACTCAGGCACAGAGTTGTTTAAAGACCCTGTCCAAGGACACAGGGCTGAAGTTGAAGCAGAATCCATGCAGCCTGCTCCTACGTACTGTTACTTTAACTCCGGCTCTAAACGACCTCCAGCCATCTTGTTTTCCACAGGTGTATAGGACACCTTTTGTGCATTTAGAAAACTGGAAAGACAACCTCTTCTAATTTCTATTCTTATTTATAATTTCTTATTTCTTTTTTTTTTGAGACGGAGTTTTGCTCTTGTTACCCAGGCTGGAGTGCAATGGCGCGATCTCGGCTCACCGCAACCTCCGCCTCCTGGGTTCAGGCAATTCTCCTGCCTCAGCCTCCTGAGTAGCTGGGATTACAGGCACGCGCCACCATGCCCAGCTGATTTTTGTATTTTTAGTAGAGACGGGGTTTCACCATGTTGACCAGGATGGTCTCGATCTCTTGATCTCATGATCCACCCACCTCGGCCTCCCAAAGTGCTGGGATTACAGGCTTGAGTAATTTCTTGAGTAATTTCGCCCGGCCCTATAATTTCTTATTTCTAATATCCAGTGATTCATTCTTCCCAGGAGATTTTGTTGCTTAAGCAGGAAGACATTCTTGATTTTCCAAATATTGGTCTGTGACAAGAAAGAGCGGGACCACTCAGAGCATCATGGAAACTACCTACTGAGTTGAATACATGGTTTATCACATTTAGTAACAAGCAAGAAAGAAGGAGTTATGTTCAAAAAAAAATTAGCACAGACCTATGAAGATTTTTGTAAGTTTAAGGGTCTTTTCCAGCCTGGCCAACATGGTGACACCCTGTCTCTTCTAAAGACACAAACAGTCAAGTGTGGTGGTGCATGCCTGTAGTCCCAGCTACTGGGGAGGCTGAGGCAGGAGACTCACTCGAATCCAGGAGGCAAATATTGCAGTGAGCCAAGATTGTGCCACTGCACTTCAGCCTGGATGACAGAGTGAGACTCCATCTCAAAAAAAGAGAATCTTTTACAGCTAACTGGCTATTCTGTTGACATGGTTCCACTAAATCAACCCAGGCATTTTGCTCATGTTTTGTGATTAATAAGAACTTATGGATTTTTATGAGTTTTTATTAAGTAATCTGACATTGTTATACCATTTAACACAGATGGCCACAGTAGCATCAATCTTAGGTAGCCAAAGTTTCCAGTGAAAGCGTTCCTGTGAATAATTCCTAAATGAACTATACAGTGTGATTAGTATAGTATGACGATTACATCTTAACATGTATTTATCTTTCTACAGCAGTTATGTTAAGGCTCACCTTGTGCCAGACCCTATTATATTTGAAATATAATAATTTTTAAAAATCCCTATGTGGTAAATTGTTTGCATTGTCCCCATTTTAAAGATGAGGAAGTCGGCCTGCAGAATATTAAGTCATTTGCCTAAGCTCAAATAACTACAAAGTAACAGAGGCTGGATTTAGAACCAAAGGAGCCTGGCTCAGGGATCTCCCCTCTTATAACGCAGTGGTGTCATACAGCTGTACCATGCAAAAAGTTATAGAAGGTGAGAATGTATGTGAATACCAGCTTCTCATGGATTTAATCCTCAGGAATTTTCTAAATTGCTTCACAAACAATTACAAAAAAAAAAATCTGTGTCCTGAAATTGTCTATTTATTAGCCTAAAGAGTTAGGCCAATGAGGTCTTCTAATGTCCACATTTATGACAGAATAATCTCACACGCACATGCCTATGTGCAGTTGTATGCTGGTAAAATTTAACAAAGAGTACTCGAGGAAAAAAGAGAAAAAGAGAGACGGGGGGGAGGAAAAGAGTGAGAAGAGAAGGGGAGAGAGAGTGAGAGAGAGAGAGATTATTTTAGTATTTGCCTTTCTTCAAGGTGCAAATATTCCCATCATGACCGATTTCAAGCTACCAATGTAAATGCAGAGTTGGGAAGAAAAGTGCAGTAACACTATTACAGTATTTCCATCCATGCAATATATACACACACACATATATATATATATATATATATATACACACACACATATGTAATGTATATATATTTATTAGGGATTGTAATTCTCAGGAATTTTCTAAATTGTTTCAAAAAAAGATCAAATATATATAATATATATGTACATATTATATATAGATATTGCAATTGGTTCTTGTGAACCAGCACGAGCTGGTTTTAGCACATCACTACCTACATGGCTTAAGAAATAAGGTTTAAAACATGTTTTTATGCCTCATTGATGGATAAAGATTATATGGACACTTTTACACAGTGACATAATTAAAATTGTAACTTTATCTCTAGAGCAAAAATACTTACATAGAATCTAGTCATTACAAATTGTGTTTAAAAGGATTCTCTCAACATTTACTATACTAGCAAAGATTATCTTCAACTTGTGAGACATTCCACTCTGTAGTTGGCATTGCTCTAAATTTAATCTCATGAATTAGTTAAATTAATTTGATTATTTAATTTAGTCTAGTTCACATAAGTACATGAATTACTACACAATTAGTGTCTATAAGTTATATGCTCACATCATTTAAATTTTTTAAAAATCAAAATATACACCTTGAAAAGCTTCCTTTCCACTTCTGTTTCCCAATTTATCCCTTTCCCTGGAAGCAACATTGGTCACTAATTTCCTGTATTTATTCCCAAAGAGAAGACAATGTCAATGTTACCCACCTTTCTGACGTTAGGCAATGCCAACACAAAGGAAAAACGTTGACTAAAAGATGGCATTAGCTAGAATTTATGTTAAAGCATTAGCACAGGCTCAAAAATCAATAATCGTAATACTATTAATGACTATATTAAAGGGAAAATTACAAACTTTTTTAAAGCAACATAGGACATTTAAGGCACATGTGGTATTCAGTTATGCATCTGTAATTAGTAAATGTATAATACTGTCTTCTCCCCAATATCTTAAAGAAAACATCATCTTTTCAACATCCTAAATTATTTTAAATCAAATTTATGGCAAACGTATAATGATACAGTAATAAATATGGGCTTTTGCCAATGAGTATATAGTGATATTTTGAAAAATATCTGGTCCCATGCATGTTTTTGTCCCAGCCAACATTTGTCTCTTGCTCTGTAGCTGTGCCCTCAGCATTAAAAGTAATGGCTGTAGTTAAACTTTTAATCGGGGAGGACTTCAAGAAAAACTGAGGAATATAAAGTCATAGTTACACTATGTGATCCTTTTTTTTTTCAAAATGCTCTTGGGAAGGTTTACATGTTTAATGATCTATTAAAAGTCCATTGACCTTCTTGAACCACAAAATGTTCAGAGATTTCACAATTTCCATCAGAACCACCACATGATTCTACTGCCAATCGGAAACAGACTAGATTGCAGTGTTTATGGTTTCTGGTAGAACTTTCAGGTAAAGCTAGCTTGAAGGCACTTGGTAATAGATGAGAACTTGGGGGAAATCTAGACAGTGATCCATGCAAAACAATAATTGTCGATATTTTATAAATCTTTGCAATGGACCAGGCACTGAGCTGTTTTTTCCACATGTTAACTTTTCGAGTCATTGCAACGTTTCTAGATAAAAGAAAGAATTATTATCTACATTATGCAGATAAGGTACAGAGAGCTTAAGTAACCTTTATAATGTCACACAGCTAGTAACGTATATTCAACACAAAATCATTTTTGATACTGAATACAGGCAGTTTAGCACAAAGCTCATGCTTTGACCACTACTCTGTAGCTACATTCTTAAGAAAACAAAAATTTAAGAAAATAGAGAAAGCAGGACCCAGAATACAATCTTGGAGAATGCCCATTTTGAAAAGTAAAAGAAAGTAGAAAAATGATTAGAGGCACCAGAAAAGATTATACTGAAAAGAAATTAGAATGTGCCGTGTCATGGAAAGAAAAAGAAAAAGATGTTCATCACCTTTAAATGCTAGGGAATATAAAGAAAAATAAAAAATATTAGATGACCCTGAATTTGGTGAAAGGAGAAAGGAGGAGATGGTATGACATTTGGCAGGGTAGTAACCTCAAGAGAAATTTTCACTTTAAAATAGGCAAAAACAAAGAAAGCATTTTTGTGAGCTCAGAAAGATACTGTAGACAGGAAAAAGGAAGATCCAAGAGAGAAATGAGCAAATTGTTGGAATAAACTCCCAAAAGAATGAGAGTAAGAATACAAGTGACTCTGAGAGAATCCTTGGAAAGAAGAAAGAATACCATAGGCTCTTTCTTAATGCTGCCACTATTCAAATTACTCGGATTCTTGTTCCATCTTGTCTTGCTTTTTATAATCTAGTACCTCAAAATACCTCCTCTACACAATCTGCTATCTGAAATAAGGACAACTAGAGATAAGACCACAGGAGTTAAGCAAGGAGGATATATTTATTAGGACGGTTTGGTTGCAAGTAATATAGATCTACTAGTCCTGGCTTAAGCATAATATAAGGAATTTATTAATAGGTTGCCAGAGTGTCTCATGGCAAAGATTTAGCTGAACATCAGGAATGGTTTTGAAAAGTGGTCGAAATCACTGTGGAGAGCATAAAGAGTTCTCTCTCTCAGTCTGTTTTTTCTTCTTACAGCAATTCAGTGTAGTTTAATCTTTGCAACCAGTGCAGCAGAATAGAAAAATGAACACTACCAACAGCTCAAAGCTGACTTTCTATTACATGACAGTGCATGCAGAGACTCATTTGAATGGGAGCATTCTGATTGCTCAGCTTATATTAGGTGTCTTCGTTTGGGCCAATCAGCTGTGGCCAGGTGACAGGGCCATGTCTTATGAGCATGAGTTCATCAATGCAAGCTCTGGTTGGGTCTGTGGATAGTTCCCAGAAAAATTTACAAGGAATCTGGAGATAGATAAACAACACGTTTCTACCAACACAGCACCAATGAGGCAATGTTACAAGATGTAGGTAGGACTAGGATAGTCTTACACAATTTTCTATTTTTTGGCTATTTTCTTAAAAGAATAGAGTCACCTGAGCTTCCTTACACATGCCAACCCATTATGACAACCCAGATCATACCGAGGGCATTTCAAGCACAGCTCATTTATTCAACAAGCACAGACTGAACACTTAACCATGTTCCAGACATGGCTTTGTGTTGGTTTCCCGGCAAACCTACTGAAATTGAGAATTAAAATACATGTAAAGAGCTGCATGGTAACTGAATGCAATTTTTCCTCAAATTACTACTTCACGGTTAAAAAACAAAATCCTCATAGTCTAATGTCGTTTGGAACTGAAAGATAGGCGATTCAGGGATAATAATTACCAGGCTTTCTCTTCAGCATGTGTTCGGCCTCTATTGCTGTTATTTCAGAAACGGTGGTGAACACGTGAGCGCAATGAACGGAGGCTCGCTCCATGCAGTATCGGTGGTAAATCTGCCTTTCCCCAGCCTCTTTGTCTATGTTAAACTGTGAAAAACAAAAATAAACACACCTTTGCTAACACATGCCCTTCTATACAAGCAAAACAAAAATCACACATTTCACCAATTGGCTTACCTCAAGGCTATGTAAAATTTTAAGACCGCAAAAAAAAAAAAAGTAATAGAAACTTGAATTAAACCCATTACTAGAATATACATAAGGACTTACACTTTAAAAGGCATTGTTTACTCCATTTCTCCTTCTAAGCTGCTATTTAACTCCCTAAGTAAATGATATTTCTATCTTGCTGTAATCACATAAAATTCTTGAATTTTTAACATTTGAATTACACTGTTAGTTATTCTAGATCTTGGATTACTGAGTTAATGGCTTTCCCCAAAGTCCATAATATATTTTCCCATTAAACAATAAAACAAAGTTAACATTAAACTTGACATCAAAAATAAGAATAATTATTACAATGCTTAATTCACTGAAAGGGAACCTGAAAAAGAGAAAGACAAATGCTTTTCCTTGGTTATAGAACGTCCCCTTTAGACTCAAGGAGTGTATAGTTACTCCAGTCAGATAGTGTGCTAGATTATGCAATCATCTATAATTCTGGGTAGTTTAACTTAAAAAAAAGTCAAATTCCCAACAATCATTCAAATAATTGGCAACAGTTGTGGGCTTTTGCCATTTCACTTGGTTACTCAATGTAATGTCTCACATAGCTGCATATGAAACTAGCAGTGTCTAAGACAAAAAGCACATAAAGCTTCTGACATTATAGAAGTAGAGTGCTTTTCACAATAAAGATCGTTAGTGGCTCTTCAGCACAAGTGTCAAGCAGTCCACTAAGCACAGTAACATATTGAATCCTTATAAACTACTGAGACACATATTTTATCTTCATTTTATGGAGAGAGAAATTGAACCTTTTAGAGGTCAAAAAACTTGTCCAAGGTCACATTCCTATTAAGAATCTTAGTAGAACCCTAATTTGATCCCTAATCAGCCTGACTGATGAATGAACACAGTCTTGTATTCGTCTGTTTTTATATCATTTAGACTTTAACGCTATCAACAAGTTAGTCCCAATAATTATGGCAACATAGAGAGAAAAATGCAAAAAAGAGACCCATTAGAGAAATCTCATGCTTAGGACAAGAAAGGTCCTAGATCATTCTTTCACAACCGTAATATTTGCAATCATTTCTCTGAAAATGTTTAACTCAGGTTGTATATGACATGCTTGGATCAGCAGAAGTTTTCTTAAAAGCTCTATGTGGCCGGTCTAATTCGTGAAAACAAATCTCTCATTTAACCAACATTTTTTTTTAAGCAATTTATGCATCTCTATTACCTTAATGGAAAAAATGGGTAAAAAAATAAACAAAAACAGGCAGAAATGAAATGGGTATGTGTCTGAATAAGTGATAGGATCAGAGCAGCACTGATTCACTCTGGCTGAAGGTAGGCAAAAGTATCTCATACTACACAATAAGGGTAGTCAGTACCACCTTTACAGATGTAAGACTTTCAAGTGCAAAGACCAAGGCTTATTCATCTTTGTATCTCCAGATTGGTTGGATGAATAAAATGGCATTTGAACTGAGACATGAAAGTTTAATTCTGGGAAAGTTGTTTTTAGCCGAAATACAAGTTGCCCTAAAGAACAAGTATAGAAAATGCTATGGCATGTGAAGAAAATAGCAGAATGTCTGATGTGACTGCAGCATTGGGTGTAGAATGTAAGAGACAGAGACTGGTCAGACATAATAGGGTCAGATCACTGAAATCCCTGAGGATGAGCCTAGGAATTTTGCTTTTGTCCTGAAAACAAGAAAGCCCACTCTGAAAGTGTTCATTTAGAGGTGTGGTAAAAACAGAGCCAATGTTTAAGAAAAATAACTGGAAAGAAGTAAAGAATATTTTCCATCCCATTGAGTATTTTTGTGAATTTCAACTCAGATAACAAATGTCAAAGGCTTAGAAAAGTACCTGGCATAGGGAAAGTGCTCAATAAATTTAGCCATTGTTATTATTAATTATTATTGTTGTCGTAGAGAATAATATGACACAGATAAGATAGCATTTAACATTTGGACATTTAGAGATGAGAAGACAGATTTCCTAAATGCGCGGGCTGAGCATACATAAACACAGCGGGAGGATAGCAGGAGGCTGGCGATCTCATCAGAAGTCCGGGGAAGTCAGGCACGTGTGCATGCTTCTGCCTTTCTCTTCTCCTATGGGGTGCCCTTATCTTTTAGGCCTGTAGTATATATGGCCATAGCTGTGGATTTACAGAAACCCTATCCATTTACACATGTTATTGTCCACTTTTCCACATATTTATGATTGTATTTTAAAATCTCTGTACAATAATTCCAACATAGGACATATCTGGACCTGGTCTTTTGACAATGGGTTTTCCTTTCTTGCATTTTAATATAGCTCATAATTTTTTACTGAATTCTGGATAATGCATATAGAAAAACAAAAAATGAGTAAAATACATATTAATCAATAAAACACAGTCCAGTGACAGATGTGGGTAACTGCATAATTGAAATTGACAGCTCAAAACTTGATCAGAAGAAATAGTTTAAATTCACCAAATAATTGTCCAAAGCTTCCTTCCCCATTTTCTAATCCCAAATGGCACTGTCCTCAGATTTCCGTCTAGGAAATTCTGTTACTATTAAGAAAAGAAAGAGCCAAAACATAAGAAAACTAAAGGCTTTAGGGGAAAAAAAAAGCATTTGTTACATAGCTATTAGAGTTGAGGAGATAATTGATCAATGACTGAACTTTAAAAAATGAGTTTGGAACACTGCACGTTCTCACTCATAAGTGGGCGTGGAACAATGAGAACACATGGACACAAGGAGGGGAATATCACACACCGGGGCCTCTTGGGGGATAGGGGACTAGGGGAGGAATAGCAAGGGGTGGGAAGTTAGGGGAGGGGTAGCATTAGGAGAAATACCTAATGTAGACGACGGGATGATGGAGGCAGCAAACTACCATGGCACGTGTATACCTGTGTAACAAACCTGCACGTTCTGCACATGTACCCCAGAACTTAAAGTATAATAATAATAAAAAAGAAAATCATAAAAATAAGTGTGGAGACGTATTCTTAGAGGTTCTCAGAAATTTCATATGCTGACCGAAAATGATTAAAATGTTATTTTAAATAATAAATTGTACTAAAAACTTAAACCAGCATTAGAGTTTTTGTAATTGGCTCCTAACAAAAATTGTTTTCAGTTAGCAGTAATTTGAGTAAAAGTGTTCTAATATTTCTGATTTTACAAAACATCATTTTATTCTTATTCTCATATTTGCCCTAGTTTTATTTGTCTATGTCAGAATGTATTGAAACATCCTGGTTCCTGCATCAAAGATTAAACTACGACTTACTCTTTTTACTGAATTTTTAAAAACTTTTCACGTATGTGATTTGGTATTCTTATGTATCACCCAAATTCTAGACTTAGTGTGAGCATGGGGGCTTCTGTTGTGAACAATGTTTATGAATTTAACCCAAAAGTTAGTTCTTGACTGCTTGTCGTCTACTAGCCATTCTGCTAGATAGAACATTTTACTAGAAAGATGGGCAGGGGTCTGACTACACTTAACTATCTCAACCAGTGAGGGCCTTTAAACTAGGGAGCTATATGATTATATCTGAAGAAAGCATGACAAATACTGCCAGAAAGGGTAAAATTGTAATATATAGCATATACTGTAATGTATTTCTTCCTTAAAACCAAATAAGCACATCCTATGTATATGATTAGTAGCTTTTAAAATTAATGATTACTATGTAAGATTCAAGAATTCCGAAGTGAAATCTTCAATCTGCCACTCTAACATTTTCTTTCACTAAAGTCAAAGTGCACTCCTCTCCAGGAAACACGGCTGTTGAGCTTATCAGCTTCTCACAGATCACTGGTTCGCCCTTATTAGTCCACCATTACTATATACCGCTAAGAACCTCCCACGTCCCAGGCTTTCTGAATCCCTTGGTGACTTTATTTTAAATCTACAGCTTGTGTTTCTAGTTTGACCTTTAGATTAGGCTGACCTTTTTATAGGGAACGGCTCATCAGGACCGCCCATTGCTTTACAGATGTTAACGTTTTTCAGAAAGGACTTTCTTGGGCTCTGTTTTTGAGATAGTAGTATAACTTTTCAGTAGCATTATTTGAGGATTATTTATGTATTACATGCACACACACATTCTGTTTTATAGAATCCTAGAAGTCTTTAACCCAGGAAATCTAAAAATCAACTTTCTAACTTCCTAGTTTTCCTGATAGTGAAACTGAACCTTAGAGTGCTAAATAGATTTGATTGTTAATATAGATGCCAAATCTGCAAAACCCCTGAATTTACATTACTCAAATGCTTTGTTAATATTATTAACATGAGGGTATAAAATACATACTTTTATTCATCTAAATTGACATATGAAAAATAGGAAAAATAAATCAAAACAATGATTTTGGCAGGTCATAGAATCAGGTAATCTGCTACGATGAGCAAAAATAATTTGTTGTTCACCAAGGACCCATATCCCTCTTTCCAATAACTTCTGTTTTATTTGATCCTACAAAAATGCCCCCTACTCATTCATTGCAAAGTTACAGTGAAAAACTGACCTATCAACCTATAATATGGCTTTTAATCAAATGTTTACTTGGAGGATAGATGAAGTAGAGGAATGAAAGCTTATGGTGCAAGTTTGTATGTCTCAAATCCCAGCTCTCTACCTGCCACTCAGAGCTGTGTGTAGATCCAGGGTATTCACAGCACTTCCATAGCCTTAGGCTAGAACAAGGGCCCAGCCTTGCACCTACACCGTGTCTTTGCCCCAGTCACATCCCTTCAGATCCATGGTTCCAAAGTGGGACAGAAATCAGGCCTCTCACCTCTATACTCTAGTGTACTCTGAACAAAGTTGAACTCTATGAGCTGTCTGTCAACCCAAGGGAAGCTTTGTCATGAATATTGATCAGCTAAAAGGGCATTTCTGCCATCCGGTTGGCAGATGAAATGTACAGATCAATACCCTTCAGCTTCAGCGATCTGACAGAAGGGTGAGTAAGAAGGAAGGAGGAAGGAATATTTACCTTATCAAGATGGTTGTAGAAATCAATATTTGCTGCACAGAGATACCTCCCAAGTAGTGTGGCGTGGGTTGTAAATATTGTGGCAATAGGAAGTTTTCTGGCTCGAGAAAGGATCAGTCCAATTCCAGCCTGCCATTCATGGAATTGGGCAATGACATGTTTGCCATCTGCATGATCTGTCACCTACACCAGAAAAAAAAAAAAAAGCATTCAGAAAAGTTGTTAATGAAGCTTGATTGTGATCATGGTCCACATCATAAGTGGAGTTATGGTGTCAATAAATTTTTTGCAATTTAAAATAGTCTAAATGTAAAGCATGAATATTTAGCAAAGAAAGTACAGGATTCAGTGGCATGTTCATTAACCCCACATATTTTTATGTCTTAATCCTCTGTTTCAGTGATGGGTCTGATTTTTTCTATATGCACAAAAGAATAAATACTAATATTAATGATAGGTAATGAATATTAACAAATGGGATAAATGTAAAATAAACTCAAAAAATATTTATTTACCAGATGAATAAATAAATTCTTAAAGATATCACCGAACAGCTGAATCAATTGGGACTACTCACTTATAAGCTTATTTTTAAAAAACTACTTAAAATTTTTTTTAATTGACACGACGTGTGTTTATTTATTGTGTACATTTTGATATTTGCTAAAGGAACTGCCAGAAAGAGACTTGAAAATATATTCTATATTTGTAGTGGCCCAATTATGAAAAAGCAAATGTTGTCCAAAAGTATATAACAATCTGATAATGAAAAAAAATGCATATGAAGAAAAAAGGACTTTTATAATATTATTCTTTTCTAATAAACAATTACTTGGATTTTCAATGACTTGAAAACTCTAAAAGCAAACAATGATTTTCATGTGTATATTCGCATATTTGATTTTGAGAAACAAAGATAAAATGCCATTACATCATTTTAAACTAAATAATAAATTATTCTATGTTTTAAATTCAGCTTATTTGGGTTTTCTTTTTCTTGAAGCCAAAAAAAATTAACTGATATGTTATTAAGAATGTGGAATTAGAGAGAAAGAGGCTGATAAAAAAGTACTTAGAATCAAATAGCAGCTTTGTAACACACTGAATATTGGGGTCTAATTTCACCCGGGGTCTAATTCCAAATCAGGTGGGTAACCGTCTCTTTGCCTTACAAAGAGACAGGTTGTTTTGCCCTTACAAAATATTAACATTCACACTGGCTCCACGATAGAGTTCATTTCCTTAATGGAGACAATAGCAAAACACTGGAATTCAAGAAGGCTGAGCAGAGAATTGGGAAGGTTGGAGAGTTAACCTAAAACAGTGGTTATCACATGTAGTGCCCATCAGAACCACCTGGAAAGCTTATTAAACAAATAGCTTATTAAACTATTTGCTATGCTTAAGATTCTATACTTCATAAGTTATTTTTCATATATATTGATTATCATCTGTATATCGGGCAAATATAATTGGATGTTTTATATACATCATGCCATTTAAATTTGACATGAGGTAAATAGAAATAAGTATCATTATTACTTTGTTCCAAAGTCTGGCATTTAATTTGCAGAATGCTGAATATTTCCTCAGATTTCTGTAAACTGTACTAGGACAAGCCATAATGGCATCATGTCAAAATTTACTTCATCTAAAACTCATGGGATCATTTTTGAGCACCGAAAGCAGCTGTGCAGCTCCTCTGTTGTATCACTGTATAATAAACCATACCTCTTTCAAGAACCAGGCAGTTAAAGATCCAAATATCAGCATATCATTGGCTTCTCGGTCATGATAAGGAATGCCAACACTGCAAGCTTCCCAGAGGTCACCCTTCCACCTGTCCAAATTCCAAGCTGAATAGCCTATGTCAAAAAGCACCACATAAGGACTTCCTTCTATCAGCCATCTTCCAAAATGCACCTGTCATATAAAGAACACATAGCCATGTAGTGATATTAAGTCATGCAAGACAGGACAATGTATTTGCACTCTGAGGATATAAACTTTATGTGGTACTCAATAGCAGATTAAACGAGCTACTTAGAAAAGAATATTGATAACATATAACCTCTGCTTTTTGAGCCTCAAGCTGGAATAGGCATGCATCCATTCGTCTAGAGCCTCTGAATTCTTGCTCGTCATTAAATTTTAAAACAATGTATCTAGATCATGTAATCTCTGTTCATCTATCTCGAGTCACTCTCTTGTGACCTTGAGCTTATAGGGTTTAATATTATAGTCTCTGCTTTTATGAAAGAGCCATGAAGTGCTTTGTATCTCTGAAAATCGAGGCATTTAGATATAATGTCTCCAGTGTTGCTTATTTTGTTTTATGCAACAGGACTAACAATATTTCCTGCTAGAAGAAAAAGCTATTTCTTTTTTTTTTTTTTGAGACGGAGTTTCACTCATGTTACCCAGGCTGGAGTGCAATGGCGCGATCTCGGCTCACCGCAACCTCCGCCTCCTGGGTTCAGGCAATTCTCCTGCCTCAGCCTCCTGAGTAGCTGGGATTACAGGCACACACCACCATGCCCAGCTAATTTTTTGTATTTTTAGTAGAGACGGGGTTTCACCATGTTGACCAGGATGGTCTCGATCTCTTGACCTCGTGATCCACCCGCCTTGGCCTCCCAAAGTGCTGGGATTACAGGCTTGAGCCACCGCGCCTGGCCAGAAAAAGCTATTTCTATAGACCAGTATGATTTATCTTACTATTACTATCAAAAAAGTGACACAAAATGATTCCCAGTATGGTTGCTGCCAGAGGTTTAACTAAACACATTGCCCTGGATACATTATCTCTTTAATCTAGCAGCTCAAAGTATAATTCTATTACATTCTTCAAGTTGACTTTGATTCCTAAATGTCTTATCTTGTGCAAGTTTTAAAGAATTAGCTCTCTTATTTTTTCCAGTTGTATGTATATCATCACTTACATATTCAAGTTTTAACTTCCTTTTTGTCTCCATATTCCTACAGTAATTTACTTGTTCTTTTGTCTTAATTTTTTTTGTGTGTGTTTATTCTCCTATTACATGGTATACAACCTCATAAACTACTTCCAATCCTTTCTGGAACTCAGCAGAGGCTAAGAGTCTCTTTAAATATGAATCCAGGCTTCTCTAGAAAATAAAATATATTCATATTGCTTACATACTGGCAATTATGACTCCACCCATGGCTGAATTTTGCAGGGCTCTGAAGCCAAATTTGATTAGTTTCTACCATGGGGTCCAGGCATGTGTGGGGATGGTCTTTCCTTGGTCAACCTTGAAAGACTCTCATTATGTTTCTGTTGTTTCCATTATAACTTAGTGTTTATCACGCCACTGTTTCCTTTTAAGATGAAATTTTCCTGAGCCCCAAACAACTTTTCAACACTTTTTCTCCTTGGGAAATTTATTGCTTCATCTATTTATACACTGTGAATAACATGCAATATTATTATATAATATTTACTCACTGTGTAATATGTGCCACATGATACAGTGAGCTAAGATCATAAAGAAGAATTGAGACTAGCATACAAATAGAGAATGTAAGCTAGCTGGTATTGATCTCCCGTTCGTTCGTGGCTGCAACATGAAAATATCCCTACACTAGAAATCCATGTAGTCTTGAGACCAGTCAGTTTCATTGTGTTTCTCATCTACCTCTTTCTTTACAAGAACTTCAAATGCAAGCCCCTTCTAACATCTCATTTACTTGCATTCTGATAGTACAACAGGCATTGTTCTGTCACATTTCTAACATTCTCTATGCTGCCTTCACTAAGAAGTGTTTTCCTGGTACTATTTGGGATCTCAAGTTCCCTTGTAAATTATACATTCCGCTCCTTAAACTTTGCATGCCCCTCCTAGACACCACTACCCACACAGCAACTCAAGTGAAGGCTTTGCCTTTTTTCACCCCCAGAAACTATATTCCTGGGATGAGTAGGAAGGAAAGTTACTGCTTTTTAAAATTCTGCTGAAGATTTTAAAGCCTTATTCATTATTTACATAAAACACCTTTAAAATGTATGCTATCCACAAATATTACCTTTCCTTGTGCAGCAAAGATAAGGTTATGTTTTGACCTTATCCTAAGCAACTTCAAAGTCCAGATGTTTTATCCTGCACACTTAATCTCATGGTTACTTGACCTTATGGACTTAAAAGACTTTCATGTCCACATAATTTCAGCTACTGAAATTTTAATTTCAGATCATGATTGCATTCTTTTCTTGTCAAATCCCAAATTGTTTCTCCTCTAAAATATTCCCTTGTGGCACTCTGTTACCCAGTGACAACTCTTGTACTTCCATTTCTGTCACTCCGTTTTTCCCAGTGTATATATTTTTCTTTCTCCCCTTTAAGACCTCCAGTTCCTATAACCCTCCATTTTGTCCTACAATACCATCTTCTTTCTGGCTTTGCTTACTTTCCTTCTTTTTCTATCTATTCCAATGCAATGGCCACCAATTAAACTATTAATTCAATCACTTTCACAGTTACCACCTTGACCCATTTGCATGAATGCTGAAACGAAACAACACTGGATCTTCATCTATTCTACTTCCTGCACTGTCACTCAGACTGCAGACTGCGCCTGGACAGAGTCACAGCTGTGTGTATTTGTGCCATTACAAAGTCATGAGTACATCTCAAATATGTCCAAAAATTCCTTGAACATCTTGAACGACTTCTTTCTTGAACTTCCCTAGTTTCTACACTTGCCTCTTAATAAAATGACCTTTAACTCCTCCTTCAGGAAGATCATCAAAATCATTGGGTAAGATTGTCCTGAATTCTTCATTAACTTGTCTCTAGTATTCGCATTTACCCTTTTTTGCTGTTTGAGTAAGACAAGTGAAATATTATTCTTTCAGTGTTGCTTCGGATCTTGTTCCCATTCCCATTCTCAGCGACTTTACTCTCTTCAATCCTCCATTTATGCTGAGCTTTCAGCTTCTCCTTGTCTGCTAGGTATTTCCTTTTTGCAAATAAATACGCTCAGGTCTTACTCATATTTAATAAAACACCAATTCTCAAAACCATGTCATTCTGCAACTACTTTATTATATTTCTTCTTCATAGAAACATTTCATAATCACAACTTCTGTATCTTTTTTCTGACCCCTTACTTATTCCTTAACCAACTGAAATGTGATTTAACCTTCCTTTCTCCTCTAAAACTGCACTCCTCCGTGTTGCCAAAGGCCCAAATATTACCAAACCCAGCAGACCCTGGATCAAACCTTTGTTGACTTAATCCCTTCTTCATATTTAAAATTCTCTCCTCCCTTGACTTGACATCACGATTCCTGTTGTAGCTGCAACAAATTACCGCAAGCTTCGAGGCTTAAAACAAATCTATTATCTTACAGATATTGAAGTCAGTAGTCCAAAATGCACTAAAATCAGCATGTTGACAGAGCCACAGTCCATCTGTAGTCTCCAGGGAAAAATCTATTTTCTTGCCTTTTCCTGCTTCTATAGGCCACCTACATTCTTTGTGGCCTCTTCCTTCATCTACAAAGTACATCCCTCCAGCCTCTGGTTTCATTGTTACACCTCCTGCCTGATTCTAATTCTAAGGCCTCCCTCTTATGAGGACCCTTATGTTTACATTGGGCCCACCTAGATGGTTCAGGATAATCTCCCCTTCCCAAAATCTTTAACTTAATCACATCTGCAATATTCCATTTGCTATAAAAGGTAACATAGTCACAGCTTTTGAGGATTAAGATTTGAATATCCTTGGTTCTACATCGTTAGCTTTGCTTCTACATTTGCAATCTCTAGCCTCTTGTAATGTAGATGGCCTAACATGCTAACATTCCACAAGGTTTGGCTGAAAACTTTTGTTCAAATCTATACATTTCCATTGAATAATTTTACCAACAACCATGACTTCGATTTATGTACTAATGACTTCCTCAAAAACATGTTTACCCTATAGCTTCTGCTGAACTCCAAACCAATTATCCTTCCTCCTTAGTTTTCAGCAGGTGTCTCGAATGGAATCCATTTAAAGGCAAGTTCATCATCTTTCTCACAAATCTGCTTTTTCCCTAAGTAGGTGAATGGTCTTCTGAGTTCATGTTAATTGCAGTCTTTTTTCCCATAAGTCTACTGAGAATTGCCAAGCAAAGTGTCAGTTCCTTTACCTGGCAGCCATGCTTATTCATTGCGTCCACTGCTCTTCTGACGGCATCATTTACAGGTTCACACTGTTCCACCTGAGTCTTCATATTATGCTCAAAATATGGACCTATCAGAAAATAGTTGTCTCCCCATTCATCTGCTGTTGTTTTGGCCTTTGTCTGAATCACAGTATAGATGCCTCCAACTGTTACAAGAAAAAAAGGTTTTATTATCATTCAGGTTAGCAATTCATTTTAAGTGATAAGGGATGGAAATGAGTTCAGATTTTTAAATTAGCACTTAGGATCCACTAAGCCCAAGGGTTTGTTTACCTTTCTAAATAAGTGGTTTACCTTTCCAAATAAACATGTTGTTAAGGGACACTAATGAATGGTTACTGTTTTGTTCAATTCTGTGCATATTTTAAAGTCCCTTCCAGGTGGATGTGAAAGAGCAGCTGGCCTGAGGCAGCAAAGGGGTCAAATAGCTTCAGAAAAAAAATCTGAAAAGACAATTGGAGTAAAGCACTACTTGCCTAAAGCTCCAATCACTTTGCAGTGTCAAAAGTCAGGACAAATACTCATCGTCATCATACGTGACCTCAGCAGCAGAAATCACTTTTACCCCTCTTCCTCCCTCTCCTACAATGGTACAAAAGGGGCTCAGGATGTTCAAATAACAGCTGCTATGGTTTGCAATTATGAGCAAACCTCCTAAACTAAATAGTCATTTATCTTTTGAAGCACCAAGCAAGGTACTTTTCTGATAAGGAGAAAGTGCTTGTAGATTTTCATAGAAAATGCTTGGTCCAACCCCGATGCCAAACCCAATAACACAGATCCATATTTTCATTCTCACATGATACTTCTCCCTTCCTAGAATCATTGTTTCATTCTTCCCTCTGATATTGCTGCTACTTCTATTAAAACACAAATCCAGACAATATTGATCCATTTGGAAAACATGTACACCCTGGGATCCAGCAAGTTCACATCTAGAAAACTGTCCTGAGAGAAAATTAAGAAGAGTGATAAAAGGATGTTTACTGAAGTATTATAATGGCAAAAAATTAGAAACAACTTACATTGAACTAGTCAACTTATTTAACTGACATAAAGTTCATTTAACTCGTGTCAAATGGGGGTAAAATAATATCTAGCTTGGAGGGAAAGACAGGCTGTAAAGGAGGATTAGAAATTAGACGTGGCCTAAGCAAAGAATTTATGACCAAGTCCTCAAAAATAAACACAACAAAACAAAAATAGACAAATGAGACTTAATTAAACTAAAATTCTTCTGCACCGCAAAAGTCTTGATCAACAGAGTAAACAGATCAGCTACAGAATGAGAAAAAATATTTTGCAAACTATAAATGCAACAAAAGGCTAATACACAGAATCAACAAATAACTCAACAACCAAAAAACCCAACCCCATTAGAAAGTAAGTGTGATGGTTAATACTGAGTGCCAACTTGATTGAATTGAAGGATGCAAAGTATTGATCTTGCGTATGTCTGTGAGGGTGTTGCCAATGGAGATTAATATCTAAGTCAGTGGGCTGGGGAAGGCAGACCCACCCTTAATCTGGGTGGGCACCATCTAATCAGTTGCCAGCACAGCCAAGATATAAAGCAGGCAGAAAAACGTGAAAAGGCTTGGCTGGCTTAGCCTCCCAGCCTACATCTTTCTCCCTTGTTGGGTTTTTCCTGCTCTGGAATATCGAACTTCAGGTTCTTCAGTTTTGGGACTCGGATTGGCTTCCTTGCTCCTCAGCTGGCAGATGGTCTGTTGTGGGAACTTGTGGGTTAATCTGCTTAATAAACTCATACACACACACACACACACACACACACACACACACACACACAC